TGTGTATAGTGGTGAACCTACTGAGCCGTAGGGATCCCCCCCCCAGCGGTTCCCCCTGGTCCCTTCCATCAGTTTGCCATGGTAACCATGGCAGTGAATCAAAGTGCAATGATTCCCCTTCTTTTGTCACTCATTAAGCTGTGTGTGCAACAGGGGTGTTGTCCACAGCACTCAGTATGTCTCTCATGTACCTCGTTTAAACCTAAATATCTCCACGAATATCAGTTGTCGTGAATGACTGCAAAGGCGTTCCTGTTCCCCAGAGGATGAATCGTGCTCCCTTTGGGGATCCTCTGTATTTGTTCAGTGCTGGCTGTACTTTGAGTAATTGACTCAAGGAATCCTTCAGACCTGCTGTCCTAAGATGCATAACGTTGTCAACAATATGCCTGCTAACCATCAGCATGTTAGCATTGTCATTATGGACGTGTTAGCACTCCGATGCTAGCACTCTGATGTTAGCATTTAGTGCAAAGCTCTGTGTCCCAGAAAAGCCTCCCGTAGCAGCTATGACTGTAGACTCTTGTTACATCATTCATGCATCATTTCATTTTCTGAAAATGTACCACAGCAACAGTCTATTCTTTGCAATATACATGAACGTTAATGAAAGACACATTCCCCACCCTGAAACCAGGGTTCATTTAGGATTTTGTTTCATTTCAGTGAGGGTCAAAATTACATTAACTTTTCACTGAGGATTAAAATGACATTAACTTTAATTAACTAAATACTGTACCAGTGTTTTTAAAAGGCATTTCTCACATCTCTGCTTCCCCTTTTGAATCCTTAACATGAATCGAAAGCAAATCAGCGTGAAACTAAAGAGCAGCATATTATGATCAATAGTCACCGTGTGTAGAACTGTATGATGTAATAATGTGTATTGTAAAACCAAACCCTGCATCTCTGCATTGTGATGTATTCACCTTTCTCAGCCCACGCTGACCGGTTGTGAATATTGTTTATTCTGTGAGTTAAGTCTGCTGACCTTGTGACCTTTGCATTTCATCTCTGTGTGCTGGGCTGAAAACACATCTCGCCCACTCGCGTAACACGGCCGTTGAAGCGAAGTAAAGCAAAACTATTGACAGCACCTGTTGTCGTTGTACAAGTACTTAAATCATATGCATCCTTAGGTATAATGGGAATATTCAAACCAGCATTAAAATACAAAAAAGAGCGTTAATGGAGAAACTAAGCCAGCGTTCTCATTGAGGAGCCATGATAGCACAGTTAGCATTTAGCTTCTTAAAGCTGCTAGCACAGCATAATGTGGGTCTTTAATTGGACCATCCATACAGTCCAGATAACACTGAAAAGTGACCGAATGGATGTCTTGTTTTGTCCAACCAGCTATTGAGAGTTTCCGTTCACAGAACAGAGCGTGTGTGTTTGTGTGTCTGTGCTTTGTGTGTTTGTGTGTTTGGGAAACAAGCGTGTTTTCTTTCCTGGTATAAGGACGCCATTATTGCAGATATCATATGATTTATTCACAGTTGACTTGCTTGGTTGAATAAAGAGCTGTGTGTGTGTGTGTGTGTGTGTGTGTGTGTGTGTGTGTGTGTGTGTGTGTGTGCGCGCGCGCCTCATTAACATGTAACCTTGTCTGTGTCACAAGCCTCCAGCTACCTGCTCAGAAAAGGAAAAACAGGCTCTGTACCGTAAATAAAGGTTTAGTCTCTTTATCGTCATCTGTTTCCTCCCACTGTCCTCACTTTCATTCTGTCTTCTTCTTTTCAAGTTAACTCCGGCTGCGAGTTCCTTATCTCTGACACAACAACACTTCAATGAACGTGGCTTTAACACAACATTTGGGTTCCAGGCGGTTTCCTTCTGCTTTAAAATCTCACTTCTGTATCATTCAGCCGCTTTTGCCCCAGAAAAACACCTTCGTCCCGCAGAGAGGTCGGCAACCTGTCAGAGGAGGACGGAGGGACGTTAAATGTCACGGGCGGGGGGGGGGTGCAGGGTGGGCAGCGAGGTGGCGATGGCAGATGAAAGCATAGCGCACACTTTGAAAGTCTGACCCCTTAGATATTCATTTCAAACCTGTTGGAGGCCGAGCTGTCCCCTTCACGAGTGTTCACGCGTTCCGCAGTCGTATTGTTCGCACTGAGCCTCAGACGTGTCTGGAATCGGCCGTCGGCGCACACGCGCTCATCTTGTCATCGCCTTTGCACGTTGAGCTGCACTCACATGCGAGTGATCGAAAATGATGTCGGCCACGTGAATTCAGCTGCTTTTTTCCCCCCGGCCAAATGCACCAGCGCCGTGATCACTCCGAACTTCTCCAGCTGCAGCTCCAGACAAACGCGCCCGGCGTTTTAGCCACAAGGAGATGCCGACCGCAGGGCAAGCGATCCAGGGCTGCTCACGCATCAAGAAAGAGATGACGAGGAAACCGACAGAAGAAGCTTGTGGCTGAAAGCAGTTTTTAAAAAATGGCGTGTCAGCAAGAATTCTGATTACTGTGTAGAAAACCTCTGTCGGCCTGTAAGAGGCCCTTTACTTTGCTGCTTTGCAGCAGTTTGGGCCCCATTCAGAAGTGCTCCAGATAGAAGCCTGGCTGTATTTGACGGGTGAGCATCCATCTGCTGCAAAGCCCCTATCAGATCAGTTTAGATTTACCACCAGAGCCCCCCGGGAAAAACAAAAACAAAACACCAGCCCCTTTTCATTCCCGGCGTGCCCATTCAAGTGCCCCGATGATTTAGTTCCCCTGCTATGTGGGGACAAAGGACCCGGCTGGAGAGCAGGGGAGCGTAGTCCTCCCTGAAGAAATGCTTTTATGGAGGCTGAAAAGGTTGCGAGGAGGAGGAGGAGGAGGAGGAGCCGAGCTTCCTCTGCTCATTTGTGGCAGAGACCCGAACCCTAACTTTATGGATTCTAACTGAGGCTGCAGATAAGAAAAGAACCTCACGTTAGAGCGGAGATTCAGGTGTCATCAGAAAACCACACAAAAACCAGTTCCACAAACTACTCGGGTGTGAATGCCAAAGAGCCGGCTGAGCAAATGAGCGGACGGAGACCCGAAAACAATTAATGCAAATGTTTCTCCGCGTCTGCAGCTGTTTGGTCAGAAGCTCGAGGTGCCGAACCAGTAAATCACTCACTAGCTTTCAGTAGCCCGGTGATATACGGGGACGCTGCGTCCCGTGAATCACGCTCGTCTCTGTTTGCGGCATGTTTGTGTGTGAGCGAGGATCGCTGCTCCCGCAGCGAGCCCAGAACATTGAGGCTGGTTGAAACCGGCTCCCGGCTGACAAATCCATCATCTTTGGCAGAGGCGGCGGCGGAAGGGATTACATGATTTTAAGTTCAGGGTGACGACGTGCTGCGCTCGATTGAAGCGAGGCCTGCAGGGTCATAAAGTTCTAGACATTCAAGCAACGAGCGATAAGAACGGAGGGGGGGGGGTTATGATGATATTCTGTCTGCCGGGATTATTTAATCCCAGATACATCATAACCTCGCTGCTCCAATGCCTGTCGATGCGTCTCCCTGTTGGGTGGGTTCTGCCTTGGACCCTCGGCGGAAATGAGTTTCCCCAACAGATGTGCTGCCAGCAGCTGTTTTGCCACCGTGCTCATCTGGATGTGGACACACATATTCCCAATTTACAAAAGGCTTAATTAAAACCCCATTAGAGCGTCTCTGTGACGTCAGCCAGACATTACAGGCGGTGACTTTGCGACTTCGAAATCTTAATGTTCTTGATGGTAATGTTTTTCTCGCCGGGTCATTTCCTCCATCACCGCGTCGTCTGAGTGGCGGAGCTGAAGAGAAAAAAGGAAGCAGCGAGGACGGGATCAGGACGGCAAGTCTGTCCTTCAGACGTCAGCCTCCGGTCTCACTTTCTATTCACGGCCGAGTTTCTCTTCTCACTTTAAATGAAGTCGCTGAGATTCTGGGAACCGGCGCTAGTTTTACCGGCGTTTATCCTCCATGTGTGTATGTTAGGTGGGCTAAATATTGGAAACATGAATGTGGTCCAACACAAGAGAACAAGTATAAAATGTTAAAGTAAATCGACCAGTAATATAAAGTAAAGTCAAACGTTTCATGATACAGGTGTTTCTATTTTTCTGGGTATTGGTTTAGGTCGGTTAAACTGAATAATGCTGTAAACATGGATGACAGCTTGTCACCTTTGACCAGCTGTTATCACGCTCCGCTCTGATTGGTCTCCGTTCTTCAGTGGCGAGCAGATAAAAAAACAAGACAAACAAACGGCAAATGCTGCTGGAAACGAGAGACATCGGAATCCCTCCAGAACGTTCCCGACTCCGTCAAACATTCCGGAGCTCCGTCAGAACATCCTGACCCCTCCCCAAAACAATCCAGAGCCCCACCCAACCGCTCCAGACCAGTGCCGATGTCCAGGAAGTCTCTGGTGCCCCGGAGGTCAGGCTGCTGAGATGGAGACAGGAAGCGCTGCAGGAAGTCTCAAAAAGAACACAGACATTGATGGTGGTCAGTGTGTGCGTCCGCGTGTGCTCAACTCTGACAGATTTTTTTAAAAAGATCCTCAAAGTGAGACAATCTGAGCACAGAGAATAGTCTCAAAGTGGACTTTTGCTGCTGATTTACAGCAGTGCACCACAGCCAACACCCTCACGCCGATTAAAAGATGGCCGACTCCTCGCCAGAGAGCGGCCTACTGGAGGGCAGATGGCGGTGAAGGCCGACGTGGTGAACAGGGGGGGAAACACCCGTCGGCGCGTCGGTGCCTCCCAACAGGCCGGCGAGGACTCCCCTTGTATGGCGTGGATGAAGACGTCACGTGAGCCGGGACGCCATATCACATGACCTCACTAATTGGTTTTCTTTATCAGCGATGCCGCAGCCGACCGGCTCTGACCCACGTGAATCATTCACGAGTCTTCGCCCAGACCTTCTGTCGGGTAATTCATCCGACCCTGTGAGACCTCACCTGCGGTAACTGATGAGGGAAAATATTAAAGAGGAGCTGAATTGACTCTTCAAGTACTTGTACTTCATTTTTGTCTCATTTTGTTCTTCTACTTCACTAATGTTCAAAAGAAGAGATTTAGGGAAATACTAATACTTATTCCACCTCTGAGCATTTTTATTGATGATTGCGAGCATTCAATAAAACAAACAACTACGCACTCTATAATTTACGTAGAGGTCTTCGTGGCGCAGGGGTTAGAGAAGGTGTGCTGGGAAGCACAAGGTTGGTGGTTCGATTCCACGCTGCCCCATGTTCCATGTTGAAGTGTCCCTGAGCAAGACACCTAACCCCTAATTGCTCCCCGGGCAAAAATGTGAAAAAGCCATGGGTTTAAAGTGTAATGTAAGTCGCTTTGGATAAAAGCGTCTGCTAAATGTAATGTAATGTAATGTAATGTAACGTAGAGCAGCTCTGCGGTCTCTGGTTCTCAAGGGGGGGTGTATTCGATATCCCCCGCTGCCCCTCCCGCTGTACAAACCGGGTGGGCGGGGCGTAATCGCACATTGTGTGTGTGTGTGTGTGTGTGTGTGTGTGTGTCCTCCCCGGCTCGCTGGCTCGAGACGGATTACCGCCGGCTCGGTGACTGAAACCACACCGTCGCCGTCGGTCGGTCGGTCGGTTGTTTCTCTGACGGGCAACCGGCAACTTCACGCCTTGAGGACAACAACAGCGGGAGATTCCGGTTGTTGTTGTTGTTGTTTTCTGCAGTCCGGGAGATTATGTCCGGAGCTCCGCGTGCCGCCGCCGCCTCGGACAAAAGTTTACCGGGAACAGTGACGCGGTCACACCGGCGCGGCGGACGGTAACAGCGATGGTAAGTACGCGTTTACGACTCCTAGCTAACGGCAGCTAACAGCACGCGACACCATCAGCCGGGAGGCTCGGGAGGAGGAAGGAGGCGTTAAGGAGTTACCCCCCCCCCCCCCAAATGTCCCGGAGCCCCTCTGTTTGACACAACACGTTGTTGTTGTGGGTGCTCACACACACACACAGACACACACACACACACACACACACACACACACACACACACGGGTGCCGGCTGAGCGTCTAGCAGGTGATCAGGGTGCAGGATGAGGAGCCTTGCCCAAGGGCCACGGTTGCTGTGGAAGTGTATGTTTATTATATATATATATTATACCCTATATTTTATATATATTATAATTATTTTATAATCTCTGAATTCTACTCTAACACATTTAAAAACAGACAAAAATACATTTTACTTTTATGCATGTATAGCTCTAGAAAATATTCAGGTTATCATAACTGATCAAAAAAAAAAAATCTAAGAAAAGGTTTTGCATTATCTACATTGTTATATAAGAAGTAAGAAGTACTGCACTGTTGCTTTGGACTAAAGTCAAAGCCTAATCGAGCAATTTACCGAAGTCTTTAGAGCGATTATTGATGTATTTTACGCTTAATTCTAACCCATTTACCACAAAAACCCTAATCTAGTTAGCAGCGTTTACACAGGAAATAATCTACTGCAGAAAACATTAATTCAATAATAGATCACAAAGACGAATGTGTAATCCATTTACTAAAGTATCAAAATAAGAACATCAGCTAGATAATGAAATAAATCCAGGTTTGTGTGTGTGTGTGTGCGGTGGTTGTGTTGTGTAGTTTATTACACCAAGCAGCCCTTTCTCTTTCTACCGTTGGATCAGTTTCAAAGGGGAGATTTCCTGCGTGTCTGCAGGCTGTTTACAGGAGTGTGTGTGTGTGTGTGTGTGTGTGTGTGTGTGTGTGTGTGTGATGTTGAGCATGGGGGGGGGGGTTCTGAGCTCCTGAGTTTCCCCTCTGGGCTGCAGTGAGTTTTTCTAAAATGATTGTTGTTTCTCTTTAGATTCATGTCATTAAGGAGAACTTGTTGTTGTTTACGCCCTCAGTCCCGCTCCGTCCTTCTTGGAAAAGAAAGGACGAGAATCTGTGAATTTCTCAACGGGTCAAGTCAGGTTTCTTCGGATCAGTTTGGGGTCATAAGGGAAATGACAGAAATGAATGGAAGTCATGGGTGGATTATTTTGAGGGATCCTCTTTTAATGAAATTCTCTTTTTACATTCAGGGGCCGTTGAAGCCACTGCAGTTCTTTTTTCTCAGAATCATTTGGCAAATCCTTGATTGTTTGTCCAGAAACACTTGCGACTCCGATCAGGACGGTTTAGCAGCAAGCGACGGTTTGTCACCGTTGTTGTGATGGTGGTGGGGGGACGGGGGGGGCTGAGGTGCGGCCCCCGGGACCGCCGGCTGACGCAACAAACCCAAAACAAAGGAAGGAACGGGCCGGGCCCGTCTCCTAGAGGACAATGTCCCCGGTGTCCTTTTCCCCCCGTAGCTTTTGTTTACCTCGTGTGAAGCTAAACTCAGCATGTTACATGACGACAGCAACTCAGGAAATTACCACCGCGATGACATTTTACAGCATCTTCTGACATTCATCCTCCCGCTCTCCGCATCTCGCATTAACTCTTTTGTTGGGGGTCATTTTAGGTCTTGAGACGTGCGTCTCCGGATGATTGCGGACGGATCGACTCGTGTGAACAGAGCGTAACGAAATAATTACGCCCGGCGGGTCCGAGCACGTTGCTCTTTAAATCCGGTTCAGCGGAATGCTGGAAACCGGTTTTCCTGCGGCGTCCGTTGTCGGGGGCAACCGACGAGCCCCCATTAGGTGGAGGACGGCGTCTGGGTGATCTCGCATGTGTGTCCCCCCCCCCCCGCGAGTTTATCTTCCTCCTGTTGGGATGGAGTGTGCTGAGCCGGGCAGGGAAGCCGCACACACCAGCAGTGATGCCGGGTGTGCGAGTGACACGGCGTGTGGATTAAAACGCACAAACCCTCTGCTCGTCAAAGAGATCTGGTGTTGGGCTCACACACACACACACACACAGGGCCGTTTCATATCACATAACGCTGATGCATCGCCTGTTATTACTCTCTGTGAGCAGATGTATTAAACGAGCTGCCTAATTTTGGATTTGCCGCTTTTTGGATTTCCTTTCCTCTTAACCTCTCAACAGAACAGCTTCAGTTTACTCACTGCGACATGCAGCAGCGGCAGGTTACGTCTTAAATATTTAAACATGTAGAAACATATGAACGCACGCATCAACGAGGAAATACAGGGTCAAATATTTGCTAGTTTCAGCATTAAAAAAAATAGGTCTTGATGCTTGTTGGATAGATTTAACGGTAATTTACCGTTTCTCACTATTCAATAAAAAAAAAAAATCAGTTTATAAGGAAAATAGTTTGTCTTATTTATACATTTATTTACACAGTTTATTCACACACACACACACACACACACACACACACACCTGCCAGTCATTGCGGCGTAACACAGTGTGTTGACAGAAGGAGTCATTCACTCATTCACAACACGTGGGCACATTTTAAAGTCACTGTGACCGTTTCTTATGAATCAGGCGTCTAAAAATGCAGCGATTCTCCATCTGGGTGGTGAATGCAGCTCAGTGTGTGTGTGTGTGTGTGTGTGTGTGTGTGGTATAAATAAATAGCTTCTCATAAGACCAGTGGTTGCCAAACTTTTTCTTTCAAGCCCCCCCTTTGATGATATAGAAGCATTGAAGCCCCCCCACATGGATTCATTTAAATCACCCTCTTGATATAAGCTGTAGAAATGTGCCTGAGGTCAGCTGATGGTTACTCAACAATCTCATGATGAATCCAGGTCGTAAAGTCAATCTGATAATATACCCGTTGGGGTCAACAGTTTGGTAACCTAGGATACCAACACGGAGGGCCGCGGTGTGGACCCTGACCTTCCTTTCAAGCTCTAATCCGGTCCTGCTGGTCCACCTGTGGAGCTCAAACCTCGACTCATCCGCTGTTTCTCTCCTCTCCCGCGCCTCTTTTTCTTCATTCTTCTCTTTGTTGACACTTTCAATCGTTTTATTATTCCTCCCCGACGCTAAAATCGCTTCCTTTCTTTGGTTTCCCGTCGCCGAGCATTTCAAAGTGGGCGCAAGGGCTGCTGGGTAATCGTTGCTCTGGAAAGCAGCGGATTAAAATCTCAGATTACAAGAGGAGAGGACAGATTACAACTTTTTTTATGTGTGTGTGTGTGTTGTATTCTCCCTGCTCAGTCTTTAAGCTTTATATGTATTATTATGTGTTGTCATCATACTGCTGCAAAGCCCCCAGATAGTAAATGGATTTCTAGCTCGACGTCCATTGATCCTGTGATTTATTGATTGACGAATGAGTCCATCGCTTCTCCTCTTCCTCCTGCTGGCTCTAAAAAGTAAATTGAGTCCCAGCGAGACTCGTGTTAAATGATCCGTCACACGCTGGCCAATTAAATAAACGTCTCTCTGAATGTAGCGCTTTGTCATTAAGCGTCGTTAGCGGCCTGCGTTTGGACTCATTGGTTAAATTACAACAACACCAGACTACGGAAAAGATTTAACACCTGAAATCCTGTGTGTGTTTCGCCCTCGGCCTCGTACTTTAAAAAGCCTTGATGTTGTGAAAGGCTCTTGTTGCGTCGTGTTCTTAGGAGCACATCCACGGAGAGGAGCAGAGGAGCCTTTGAAAAGGGCTTTGAAGCCGCGGAATGTTGAACTTTTGATGTTCTGCACACACGTAATGTAGAAAAAGTCTCGTTGCATTCGACTTTTCATCCTCACACTCGTTAGAATAGAGTTAGAATATAGAGGTGTCTGTTGTATATGTATATATATATATATATATATATATATATATATATATATATATATATATGTCTGTATACACACAGACACACTGTAGGTCCATTTAATAGTGAATGTTGCAGAACACAAGACAGCTGATGTTTAGCTGCTTTCAGTGAAAACAATCATTTACATGTATGAAACTTCACTATTTCACTGCACTAAATAGTTTTTTCACGTAATCAGAAATCAGCTGTTCGGCCCCTCCTCGCGTTTGGTCCACATTGATAAAAATAGTAGTTAGTTGCAGCCACAGTGAAGTTAATGTTCATATTTGTTATCGTGTGTTTCCTGCAGAGATGCAACGTTGCAATATTTCTTCGACGATTTCTCTTCTTAATCAAATCAATAAATATGCTTTGAATGTTAATAGGTGCTTCTATTCAAATAATATTCACTTTACTGGCTTTATTAATATGCATTATACGTTGCTCATAAGGACGCAATGTGATTAAGATGCACCTCCACCTATAAACTATCCTGAAGTGTCCGGACCTTGTCGTGTTTATGACCTCATCCATCATTAGACCCCATAATGACCCTCGATAATATCTGTGATCTGTGGCGGCTTTGCTTTCCATTTATTCTCCCAGGCGAAGGAGGAGGGGGGGGGGGGTCGTTGCCTCGCACCAAAACCAAACTTGTATGACTTAAACTAATTATTTTCCTAATTGTTCACCCGTTGGACAACAACGAATCTAATCTAATCATTAAGAATCTGCATCATTAAAGTCAGCAGAAGTTATGAGCCCTAAAACCCCATCAGTGGTAATGTGGCAGCGTCAGAGAGCGCATCAGGGCTAAGCGTGCCCCCCCAGGAGGGGTCGCTTAAATCGATAATGAATAGTTCTGTTCCGCGTGTCCCTTAGTGGTTTGGTTCATTACTCCTGACGCGTAAACAAATCATTTTGAGTCCATCTGAGTGAGTTGCAGGAGGAGTTTTGCGCCTGCAGTCCGAGCACGTCTCCATGTTTGTCCAAAGGGCCGCTTTGCATTCTGTCCTGTTAGAGAAGAGAGCGATTACAAAGGAGCAGGAGAGCCAAGATCAGATAAAGTAATGCTTTATTAGTCACGCAGGTCAGCAGCAAGCAAATAAAAAAACAAGCATTATAAAGAAGCAAATGAGCAATGCAGAACGGTAATGAAAAGTCCACAAGGCACAAAGGTAAAGGTAATGTGTTGTTTTTAGCAAGTCGCTGCAGGACGTCGCTCAGCTGCTCGGCTGGTGACCTGAAATACCTGAATAACGATTTGAGGGATTTCCATGAAACATCCGCGGGGCCCAGCGGATGAGTCCTCCTGACTTTGGGGTTATTCTGACTTTTCAGCACCACGGTCAACGTTTTTAATGCGTCCATGACTTTACTACCAGATAGGTGCAACACAAACAATATTCCCTCTGTGCTTGGCGCTGAAGTTAGCGCGCTAAGGCTAAGCTAAACACGCAGCTCGGATGTACAGCCTCACGTTGCCGTGGTTTCATGCTGAACTGGCTTCCTTTTATTGGCTTAAGAAGTCTGGTTTTAAACTTCCACTTCCACTAAACCTCTTGATCTCCAAATCCCATTATTTCCTCGCTTAATACTCAAACCCACCAGTTTAAATCAGCCGCTGCTAATCTGCTGTGCTGGTTCAGACTGTGTGCGGCTCCATGCTGGTTTACGCTCCACTGAATGACGGCTAATGTGCTATAATCTCTGCTGGATTGATCACAGGAAGTAAAGAATCATCTATAAACACTTTACCGATTTGACATATTTTGCATTTCCTCTCTCTCAGATACCAATAAGGAGCTAATGAATGTATTTAACACGAACACGACAAAAATTAAAATGTATTTCTTGTGTCCCCGCTCTGATCAGCTGACGGGCTATGAATGGATGGATTGGGGGCGGGAGCAAGGAGACGGGGGTTTGCCCCCCCCCCACACTCAGCTCAGAGGGAGTTGGAGTAGCACTTGTCGGCCCACTTTGGCTCCAGCAAAGCCTCCTCTCCAGTTTCCCATCTCACATCTCGGTTGTAGAAAGCCGACGTAAATCCCGCAGATGCCCCCCCCCCCCACCCCGCGTCCCCCCCAGTGTCCTGCTTGCCTCCGAGTGATCATTATATTCTTTGTCAGTTAATCAGTAGGTTATTTTTAGCCCCACTAGCGGCTTGGCTTTGGGAACAACGGGGTCAGTCGGTCCATCGCTTTGGTCTCGATACATTTGGAATAAATTGCCATGAAATTTGGCACGAATGTTAATTTCCCCTTCAGGATGAATTCCAATAACTTCCATCTGACTTTTGATCAGAATAAATGTTGCCATGCTAAAGCGTCGATCGCACACATGAGCTCTTTGCCAAGTTAGCGTGCTGCTGTTAGCATTTACTCCAACGCCTCATAGAACCGCTGGCGTGACTGAGGACTATTTGTCTTATTTCATCTTAAATGCATCCAAACTTCCACCAAAGTGGCCTCAGACAGTCTATATGTTTGGGTGGTGGTTTGTGGAAGGATCATTGTTAATTTACCAAAGCGGTGCAAGATTAAGTATAAATAGATGTTTTTATATGCATCAGAGCTTCCGAAACGAAACAGCTCCAGATGTTATGTAAATGAACAGGATGTTACATTTCTAAAAAATACCCGTTTTTGCACGCCGTTTTATGGCTGCTCATGCTTCACTTTTAATTCACATCCGTTCATACATTTTTTGGTGACTATCTGAATATCTGCCACTGGCCAAACGCCCTGGTGTGTGTGTGTGTGTGTGTGTGTGTGTTTTGTGTGTCCGCCCATCTGTACAATGATCTAAAAGGCCCGGGCGCGGGGGCGCTGACCTGGTCTGCCCTTCACACACGTGTTGCGTGCTCACATGTTAACGATTGCGCCCTCGGACCCACTTTTCCCAGCGACCTCCGATACGTGCGCCGGCTGCCGGGCCCTTAAATCTCCCGCGGACACGCGCGTTCATTCCAGGCTGTTTGAGGGTAAAGGGATGAGCGTTTGGTTCGTGCAGAGAGGGGAGAGCGTGATTCGCAGCCCGTCGTCTCGGGCTAATCCGCCTGCAACAGATTTCAATTATTTAATCATCATTATTTTCTCTTATTAACCTTTTGCCGCCAACTGTTGCAGCCACAAGGCGCCGGCACTTTGAAAAGTCACGTTAAACACCTGCAGTTAACGTGTGGCGCCGTTTAAGACGTTTACATCATCACTTGAATCGTCACGCAGGGTTTCTACGTTTACATAAAGCACAATACAGCGGAACATACAGACGGATAACATGTCCTTCCCAGGGGGATTAGCATTTATCAAATCCGGGCTGTACTACTTTTTTTTGGTCATTTAAAAAATACAAATCCAAGTTTGAACATATTCCACCGCGAGCTGGACTTACAAACATGACATTAAGATTATTTTCCGTCTCCCTCATCCTCACGCTGACTGACAGCTGTACACATTTAAAGTCGCGAGCCACCAGACGTTGACAGACAGGCGAGAAGAAGAAGAAGCAGCAGCAGCAGCAGCGTCCAGAACAAAGGAGTGACATCAATAACGTCACGCAGATGTTTGGTCTGCACCGCGTGGTCCGCGTGTTGTGCTGCTGGGTTTCGCTGACTCTGCAGGAAGCATCGCGAGGCCACGGGGCGCAATCAGACCGCGCCACAAAGAACCAGACGAAAAAGAATACAGCCTTCATCGGCTGTTTGCTCGTCTGTGTGCGCGTGCGTGCGTGTTTTAGAGCTTAGTCCATCCATGTGCACTTTGCTTCCCGTGGCAACAAGAGGTTGCTAAACACTGATGTGTTAGTCGGCCGTTACGTAATGTCTGCTCTAGTGCATTTTGGGTTTGTTTGGAGCCTCGGGCCTCTGCGCACTGATCCTCTGACTGACGGAGTAGCCGCCCCCCCGTCGGCCTCTGCAGGCTGCGCGTTCTCCCCATCCGGCTTTACGCTGCGCTCTTATCTGCAGACGCTCGGGGGGCCGAGAGGAGATGAGAGGAGCTTTTCCTGACGCTCCGTATCAATGGCTCCGTATTGTGCAGCAGCTCTTCCTGCAGGAAGCTCGAGTAGACGTTGAAAACTACGGCAGGAAATAGTTTGTTTTCCTTCCTGTGACGTTGTAGAGAGTGAGGCGTTTTTAGACCTTTGTGGAAGCGGTCACCATAGTGATGTCCTTTCGATCACTAAGTGTTTTTTAAGTAGTCCAACATAGAAATAACACTTTCACTCATTCTTTTAAAGCAAACAATTGTAAAAGATGAAATGTCACCATTCTAAATGTCACTGTGAAATACATGTATATATTTTTGATTTGACAGTTTCTCTCGTGACGATGTTTTATTTGTGCGCGTGTGCTCGCAGGCGGAGCGCGGCGCTTGCGATGCCAACGTCCTCGGCGTCCCGGTGCCGATGCGCCGCGGCGGCTCCGAGTCCAACCTGCACGCGGTGGACGGGGCCGGGGACGGCGGGGTCGGGGACGACGGGGTCGGCCTGGACTTCACCAAGGGGGCGCTCGGCATCGACAGCCTGCAGCAGAAGGTCCTCAAGGTCGGAACCTACCGAACAAATCCAATATCTCCTCGGCTCGGTTTGGTGGTTCTTTGTAGAGTTCTTTGTTTATCTTCTCTAGCCAATAATGAGCAGATTAGATTTCAGTATTAAAATGTTTTAATTTAAATTGGTTCGAGTAACTCTGGAATTGGTTTTCATAAAGTTTCTTATTATACGAACGTATAATAATAATGTGGTCAGTCGGGACCCCGAACGTAACCATCATCTCCGCCTCCAGGTGACGGAGCAGATCAAGGTGGAGCAGGCGGCTCGGGACCAGAACGTGGCCGAGTACCTGAAGCTGGTGAACAACGCCGACAAGCAGCAGGTGGGGCGGATCCGCCAGGTCTTTGAGAAGAAGAACCAGAAGTCGGCGCACACCATCGCCCGGCTGCAGAAGAAGCTGGACCAGTACCACCGCCGCGTGAAGGACGGCGAGACCAACGGGAAGCCCCACCCCCTCCCCAACCACAAGGAGTCCGGGACCCACAGCAAAGAGGGCAGCCTGCGCGACGTCAGCGCCGCCGGGCGCCACCCGGCGCTGGACAAGGTGAAGACCATCGGGCCCGGCGTGTCGCTCTCGCCGCCGTTCTTCTTCAACAAGTCGCGGGAGTTCGCCAACCTCATCAGGAACAAGTTCGGCAGCGCCGACAACATCGCCCACCTCAAGAGCTCCATGGAGTCGGGGGCGGGGCTCCACGCGGAAGGCGCGGCGCGGGGCCTGAGCGGCAGCGCCACCACGGTGGCCAAGGCGACCAAGTACCAGAGCGACGACGAGTGCTCCACGGGGACGTCCGCCTCCGCCGACTCCAACGGGAACCCGGCCGGGGGCTCCGGGGCGGAGTCCGGGGGCGCCGGGAGGTCGGACTCCAACGGGCGGCTGGGGGAGGTGCTGGAGGTGGTGCGGGAGGTCAGGGAGGCGCAGGTGCAGCTGGCGGAGGACATGGAGAGCATGAACACGCAGTTCAAACGGGATTACAGCTACTTCACGCAGATGATGCAGGAGGAGAGATACAGGTGGGGATCGAACCGCCGGAGCAGGAAGCTCTTAGAACACGTCAATAAAAGACGAAGACACATTATAGATTATGGATTGATTGTACTGAGCCCAGAGGGCCGAGTACTTTGTGTTACTGGTAAATGATTCCCTTATAAATAGTGGCACCAAAGTGTGAATCCGGCACTGTACATCTGTTGCTCCTCAGAGAGCTTTTGACGGTTATTATAAGCCTTTGTGAACTAAATATAGAGTTCAGTGCTTCCACAACAAAACCCTCAGACTGTCGCTTCAGTCGTCCAAGGACAAACGTTTGCAGCAGCTGAGTTGCAGCAGCACATACATTGCTGTAGTTACTCACCCACTCACACGCTCAATTATGCTTCTCCCTCCCTCCCTCTCTCTCTCTTGTTGGCTCTCTGCCTCCTCCTCTGCATGTGTGTGTGTGTGTGTGTCAGGTATGAGCGGTTGGAGGACCAGTTAAATGACCTGACGGAGCTCCACCAGAACGAGACCATCAATCTGAAGCAGGAGCTGGCGAGCATCGAGGAGAAGGTGGCCTACCAGGCCTACGAGAGGGCCAGGGACATCCAGGTAGTCCGCCACAGTCACACCACAACACAGACACAGAGCGACAATCTATTCATTGTGTAAAGGGATAAGACAACGTGACAGGACCTCCCTGACATTGTGTTGCGTGTGCGTTGTGCAGGAGGTGCTGGAGTCGTGTCAGACCCGCGTCTCCAAGCTGGAGCTCCAGCAGCAGCAGCAGCAGCAGACGGTGCAGGTGGAGAACACCGACGCCAAGGTGCTGCTGGGGAAGTGCATCAACATCATGCTGGCCATCGTCACCGTCATCTTGGTCTGCGTTTCCACGGCGGCCAAGTTCACCGCCCCGCTGCTGCGCAGCCGCCTGCACATGGCGCTCACCTGCGTGGGCGTGTCCGTGCTGGCGCTGCTGTGGAAGAACTGGGAACACTTGCAGGGCGCCGTGGAACGACTGCTCCTCCCGCGCTGATCGGCGGGGTCACGGCACGAGACCCGGGGAGGGGCCCGGGGGTTTCCTCTCGTGGGGGCGGAGCTTACATTCGGCCTCGCACCAGCCGTGTTTTTGGGCTCCACGGTGACTTGGTTGGTGGCTTTTGTTCTTCGCGTGCCTCAACGGGGTCCACAGACAGACTTTCCCAGAATGCACCTCCACTGGAATTCCTCCACACGGACGTAAGCTTGTATGACTTTTACACCACGCTGACATCAATGCGTATCACTACAGTCCAAAGTACCCGGCGACTAAAAGACGAGTCGGTTGGAGTCGATCGGCCGTATCATTGGCCGTCGGATTCCCCGTCTGCTCTCCTCCGGTCATCAGAGGGAAGAACGCGGAAGGATCGTCGGCGCATTGGGAACACAGCCGGTTGTTTCCTCTCCCGTATGTGGATCCTCCGCAGCCCTGTGAACAAACTCTCCCTGGCTGCACGAGGCCGACAGGTCCTGCACACCCGCCAGCTGTGACATCACAACGACACCTCCACCGGAAGGTGCAGCCGTACTGTATTTACGTCGTGTTTGTCCCCGTCGCTGTCTCATTTAATGAGGACATTTTACAAGTTGTTGTCTTTTTAACTGTGGGTGTGGGATTGTGCGTTCGTGAAGTGTACGTCTCACAGCGTTTCCTTTGTTCGGGACAGTTAAAACTTTTCTGGCCTCCGGTCTTGTTGTTTTGATGCTTTTTTTTTTTTTGTAAAACGTGTGGTATGTTTTTCGGGTAACATACGAGTCGCTGTGCTTTTCTCCAATGATTGCAGTTTTAGCGTCGACAAGCTAGCCTGTCAACTGTGAGGCAGCATTGGGCGACTGGAGAAAAGCTCCATCATGTCTTGGCTTTTAAATTAAATCGCCTTTTTTTTCTCCTCTGGATGTGAATAGAACAAATTTACTTGAGTGTAAAGCCTTTGATGCTGCATTCAAGTCCTGTGGGAATAACCATAACAACGTTATGGCGGCTCAAGGTCCTGACTTGAAAGGATTTCCAATTGATGAAACTTGTATTCAAGCAACAGACAGATCGCTGGATGGATTTCTGCTCCTACGTTTTAATTACACATAATTACTCTTACTACTTTCTTTTCATACATGACAGCTGAGAGAAGTGACATTCGAGGTGAAACCTGCACACAAAGTCGTCATATTTTAATAAATATGAATTTTGATAACTCAGGAGATGTTCTATTTAAAATAAATAAATGTCAGAAACCAAAAAAGTGGTGGTATCAACCCCTTAGCGCCTGTTTTTCCCAGGTGACTTGAATGCAGCATGACAGTCTCGATGCAGGGAGGCGAGCGACGTAGCTGCTGTTACCCAGCATCCCTGTGATGATGAGGGGGGTGAAATGAGGCTTGTCAATGCAGCTTATTTTCTTCTTTGTATTCAGTCCAGTCTAAAGCCAAATATGGAAATTTTTAAAGCACGGCCTTTCTAAGCAACACTGAAATAGCTTTTTTCTGTTTTCTTTCCATCGATCTTTGGTGTTTTTATTTTTTCTTTCTTAAATCGATCACACTCGTTTGATGTGCTCTTCATGAGTTCAGTGCACCTCCTCTCCAAAGCTGAAAGTCCATAATGTATATTTTCATATTATTGTCTCTTCTATGTGCATCACTTTCTGGTGACGGTTCCGTAACATCCTCATATTTTCAAATGAGAAAATAAACCTGATTTTGTTTAAAGATCTTTCCATATTTTCTGTTTCTTTCTGGTCCTTTTTATTATTATATTGCATTATCCACGATCCGTCGGACTGTGTGAGGTAAGGACAGGAATCAAACCACTCTGGAAGCACCTTAAGTAATTCATACATAAAACGAGTCTAATGAATTCAAGTGAAAGTCTCTTTTTTATAATACTTAAATTAATATATTTAGTGGTGTTTAACTTGTTTGCTGTTCCTCATTAAAACCTCATGTAGTGAATTTTATGAATTTTCTCATTATTAATAAGCAAGACCTCATAAATTAGATTATTTTACATCTCTAAAATAAAACAAATTAAACCATGCCTGTATGTGTATTTGTTGGGCAAATGAAATATGGTTATCTTTGTTCTGGAGGATACTGCCATCTGGCTGTCAGGCATGAGCAGTGTCTCCAAATGTGTTTAAAAACTTATTTATATTTATTTAAATATATTTGAGAATTTTTCTTTGGATTTCTTATAATGAAGACAAAAACAAATAATTGTAACTATAATGATTTATATGAGTTATATAAAAACAAATCAAAAAAGCACCTTTTATGCATCCCCTCTTATGTTGGACCTTCTTGTAATAACAAATATTAATACAGACTCCACTAACTATTGATTGGGCCATTTATCTATTTACATATCTATGATATGTGATGTGATCAAAATGAGTAAATAAATCAAAAACGTGTTTTTGAGATAATCTGCTCGTGTGAATAAAACCTTTTACATTTATATCAGGCGACATTGTCAAGATAATAAATAACATCAAGTCAGTATCGATTAAACATTATTTTTAAATGTGTGCAAAAATACATGTTCAGTATCGGTTGTTGATCTGATCAGCCACATCACCAGGGGGCGGTAGGGGGCGGGGAGTAAGTTTGGCGCAGACCGGAAGTCGTCACAACTGGTCTCCGTTAGAAAAAGTTGAATGTTGCGCGGCGAGCTGGTTGTTGAGGTACGATAGAAACGCTATGGATTAAAACCGGTTTCATTGATTAGTGTTTAAGTATTTAATAACTATAACTGGATTAGTTACTTTCGTAATAGGCCAGCGGTTCAAAGTGCATAACTGAAGTCAAACACCGGAATGATTCAGTTAGCTAGCTAATGTTAGCTGGTGTGGCTACAGAATTCACCTTACATTACCTTTAGGTTTTATTTGTTTAATTGCTGGCATTTTTCTGGATTAACTTTAACCACTTTAAATGGATGAGCACAAAGAGAATATTCACACCGAGGACCTGAACGCGAAGATGTCGGATGCCAGAGCAGATGATGATGAGGTTGGTGTGTGTGTGCAGTGTGCTAACGTTAGCGTCGTGTTTACCCTGGAGGCAACGTCACTGTTTATTTATCTGACATGCTAACCGTTAAACGCTAGCTTACATGCTACAAAACAGTACATCACTATATGACACAAGTGATGGTACAAAACTTTTCACCGGGTATGGTAAATGTATTGCATAATCAATAACCTGCACAGAATAGTTATCTGACCTTATTTTTGTCCTCTTAGTGTTACGTCCCTATCACACATAAAGAACGATTTAACTGGTCTTCAGGTGAAGCCTTGCAGCAGGATATGTCCCGACGAGGAAGCTGCTCCTCAGGTGTCCCCGTCCCAGTCCAACAGTGACTTCAGTCACCCGGTGTACAAAGAGATCTCCATGGCTAACGGACACATCAACCGCATGACCATGGACGAGCTTCGGATCAAGTTGTCAGAGCTGCACCTCGACACGAGGTAATGTAATACTAAGAAAGACTAAAACAGAACATCCTAGATTTGTGTATCGTACAGGAAGTTATGCTTAGTTCATGAACGTTTCATGTCGAGTGTTTCCTGAATCTCTTTCTGTGTGTGTGTGAGAAGAGGCGTGAAGGATGTGATGAAGAAGAGGCTGAAGAGCCATTACAAGAAGCAGAAGCTGCTGCAGTCTGCCGCCGAGGGAGGGGCCACCGACACCTACTATGACTACATCTGCGTGGTGGACTTCGAAGCAACGTGTGAAGAGGACAACCCGTCCGACTTCCACCACGAGATCATAGAGTTCCCCATGGTGCTCATCAACACGCACACCTTGGAAATCGTGAGTGGAGTTTGAGATGCTCCCGTCATAGAACCAGCGGGGCGACTCCTGTATTCCTCAGTGTTGTTTCTTTTGCAGGTGGACTCGTTTCAGGAATACGTGAAGCCAGAGTCGAACCCGCAGCTCTCCGACTTCTGTGTGCAGTTAACGGGGATAACGCAGGTTGGTTCAGCACCATCAAGGCGTCATCGGGGCGTTTTAGTTTTAGTTGTCGTCGAACACGCTGTCGTTTTATTGAGCAGAAAATGGTGGACGAAGCGGCCCCGTTTCCGGATGTCCTCCAGCGGGTCGTCGCTTGGCTTCAGGAGAGGGAGCTCGGGACAAAGTACAAATACGCCATCCTCACCGACGGGTATGTTTTGAAGAGCAGCGATGCTGCACAATCTGTGCCGCCTCTCGTCAGTGGAGTCAAATCTTTCACCACTCTTGTTGTTTTAGGGCCTGGGACATGAGCAAGTTCCTCAACATCCAGTGCCGGATCAGCCGGATCCGATACCCTCAGTTTGCGAAGAAGTGGATCAACATCAGGAAATCATACGGGAACTTCTACAAGGTTTGTGTTTTTAATAGTTTTAAATATGAGAGACTCTTTATCTCAATGCCTTTGTGTCACAATGAAGGAATGCAAGTCACTCATAACCAGTTTGTTGATAAAATGCCCCCCCACCTCCCCCAGGTCCCGCGCACACAGACCAAGCTGAGCACCATGTTGGAGAAGTTGGGTCTGCAGTACGAAGGTCGCCCTCACTCCGGTCTGGACGACTCGCGCAACATCGCCCGGATCGCTCTGCGCATGCTGCAGGACGGGTGTCAGCTGCGCGCCAACGAGCGCATGCACGCCGGCCAGCTGCTCTCCGTCCCCAGCTCGGCCCCTATGGAAGGAGCCCCCCCGCCACACAACCCCCGCAGCAGAGACTAGACCGCGGGGAGCCGAGGCCGCTCCTACTCACCCCTTGACCCCCGTGAGTCAGAGAGAAAAGTGAATTTGCGTTTGTTTTGGGGTGTAGGAGCTGTAGTTGGTGAACGGAGTCGACGTTTCCTCTCCGACCACCACGCCGTATATTTTTACACCAGATGTTTAAAATGAGAGATCACACCAGTGTGTTGTGGGAGGATTTTCTGTTGGACCGTCCTCGCTCCGCCTTACTGTGCTGCTTGTTAGTATTCAAACAATTGGAATATGACGCTAAATTTATTTGTCCCATGATGTGAATTCTTTATTTCACGTTCCGCTTTAAAGAAATCCAACTCTTTGAAAACCTAGAATTGTTGTCATTTTTATGGCCTCACAATGTGTGGCCATAGATCATACGATAAACACAAGGGACTACGTGCACGTAATAACAGCCATAATACCACACCCAGTGATGAGAATACACAAGTCCGTTAGTACTGTAAGGCTTCATGCCGTAGTGTTCCGTCATCTTTTGTATTGATGTTCAATTATGTCATGGACGATGCTCTATTTTAACAGGAACAAATATTCTTCCAAATGCCAAATATCTCAAATAAAATGTTTCTCTGTTCTTGTAAATCATCTTTGTGAGTATCTTGGCCACAGGTGAATTAATCTTAATCCTAAAACGTGTAAAATAAAGGTTGAAGTTGCATTGATCACAGTGAGAGCGGTTGGGATGCACATGAGATTCATCAGCATTTGCTCCAAACTATAAAGCTCCTCAGGTCTCCAGAATGTGGTTTCGATCAGCTCATTTGTTTTGTTTTATAGGATATATATATATATATATATATATATATTGATGGAAATGTGTGCAGGGAAAACAAGCTTGGATCCACCAAAAAGAATTAGCAAATGTTTAATACTTTTGGCTATTTAAGTACTTAATAGTATACATTATATTTAAATACAAACTATATGAATATCCGATACAACTAAATAGTTTAATATTGTCTACACATTCTCGGCTTTGAGGACTGAGGTCACATCGGCTTTTAGTGGTTTCTTCTGATACTTTATTGGCAGCATTTCAGCTGATCAAAATACTGGAGCGTTAACGTGTTACGTATTACAGCGTTTGGCCCTAAAAGCTGTAGAACACTGGGTGACCCTCACGCACAGGTACTGTACAGCATCACTTTGTGGCTGAACGCCTCCAGCGCCAAGCGGGCCTGTACCTCCAACTCCAGCAGCTCGGCAGCTTTGGCCTCCAGGAGGAGCTGGTTGGCCTCGTAGGAGCGTTCCAGCTCTGTGGAGAAAGGAGACGTGACTTCAGACAGAGAGACCGGCTGTGGAACCGTAGCACGGCGCGTCGAATAGTCATGTGACCCACCTTCCAGTCTCTGCAGCTTGCTGACGCTCTGAGCCAGCAGCTCTTTGGCTTCCTTCTGCAGTCTCTCCGCTGTCGTCCTCCCCTGCAGCGCCGACTCCCCTTTGTCCTCCACCAGGTCCTCCACCGTCACAAGTCTCCCCTTCACCTCCTCGTCAAACTCCTGCACACAGAACAGAGCATTACTGGGAGGACGGCGGCAGAACCTTTCTTGAGCGTCCCAGAATCCGAACCAAGCGTGTTTGAGAAGTAATGGTGAGTAATCCGTGTGTGTGTGTGTGTGTGTGAGAGAGCGACCTGCTGGGCCTCCGCTGCGTCCAGCCGGGCCCGGTCGGTGGTCCGGTTGGCCGTCTCCACCCGGCGGTTCACCTCCAGGTTGTTCTGTCGTAGCAGGCCCACCTCCCTGTCCAGCTGCAGCAGTCGGCCCGTTGTGTTACCGAGCTTCAGCTCCGACGCGGCCGTCTCCGACTCCACCTGACGCACAACACGCCAACGGTGGTTTTATTCCCATTGTGACCAGACAGTTCCGTGACTTTGGAGGTCAGAGGTCAGACTCACAGAGCTCAGCAGCTCCCGGGTGGCGTTCGTGTTGTTCTGGGCCAGTTGGAGGGCGTCCGTGGCGACGCTCTGAGCGCGCTCAGTCTCGTCCAGGACGGCCTGCATCTTATCCGCCGCCTCCTTTGTGTTGGACGCCTCCTTACTGAAGGAGTACATGTATTTAGAGTAGCTCTTATGTGTCTGTCGCCCGTGTTTGAGTTATTCATATTTGTGGTGATTTACAGGAATGATCAGACTTTATACTGTGAAAACAATACTATTCATGTTGGGAAAGGTCATGTTTAAACTAATTAAACCGACACGCCGACATCACCTGGCCGACCCGGCTCGTCTCAGCAGCAGCTCTGCGGCGCCGATGTCCTCGGCGCTCTGGCTGAGAATCTCCTCCACGCTGGTCAGACTCTCCACCTTCTCCCTGATCTCCTTCGTCAGCTCCCGCAGCTCCTGGGTGGAGGTCGGCATCTTCAGAGCCAACACCTCGTCGGCCACCGCCTCGATCACCGAAACATTCGCCTTCTCGTCTGTTGGGATCGGAGTGCACAGCGAGTCAAACCGCGTCCTTCTCTTTAGATCGGCGGTTCCGCGTCCGTGTCACTCGCCGCTCAGCAGGTCCCGTATCTCCATGATGAGGCTCCGCAGCTGCTGGTTGCTCTGCTCCACCCTCTCTCTGCTCCGGTTGGATCCGACCAGCGCTCCCAGAGCGCTCACCTTGGCCTCGTTGGCGCGGTTGTTGGCCTCCCACACCTGATCACAAACGCCACGTCACGCCTTCAAATCGGGCCCGCCGTGGTTTTCACACGCCGCCGCGCTGACTCACCAGCCGAGAGAGCTCGTCCACCTCGTGGCCCGCTGCGACCACCTGCCGGTCCCGGTCCCTGGCTGATGTCAGCGCGGCGTGGGAGGCGGCGACGAGGCCTCCGCACCCCTCCCCGCCGCACCGAGGCGCTCCGCCCTCGCCGCCGCAACCCAAACCGCCGCAGGGGGAGCCGGAGCATCCGTCCCCTTCAGCTGCACCGCCACACGTCTGCAGAGAGAGAGACAATGAACTTTGACGTCGTTCACTAAGATGAAACTGCTTTACAATGAAAGGTATTTTCCCGGCGGCGCCTCTCACCGCCTCGCTCAGCGGGGACAGGACCAGCGTCTCCAGCGCGGCCGACAGCTTGTCCAGCTTCTCCGAGTTCCTCTGGTTCCTGCGGTCGAACTCCTTCCGAGCGCCGCTCAGTTTGCCCTCCGCGGCTTTCCGCAGCGCCGCCGATTGCTCCACCCAGCTCCCGGGGCCGCTGGTGGAGGTGTTGGCGCTGCGCTCGGCCGCCACGGACTGCGCGCGCGCCTCCGCGATGGTGTCCGCGGCGCCTGGAAAGTCGGGAGAGGTGAATCACTGTAAATCGGAGGGAACGGAGGGTTTATTCGGTTGTCACGTTATGTTTTCCCACCCTGGATGTTGGCGTTCTTGATGTCGGACACCCGCTGCTGCAGCTCCCGGACCGTCCGCTGCAGCTGCTCGGCCGCGTCGCTCAGCGCACCCAGGTTGGCGTCGGTGGCGTTGGCGTCTCGCCGCAGGAGGCTCGCGGTCTCCTCCGTGGTGTTCAGCTTTCCGTTCAGGTAGGACATCACGCCGCTGGAGGAGCAGGAGAAGGAGGTGAACTCGAGCGGGGGACGCGTCCGCGGGTCGCTTTCACTTGTCTGTGTCCTCACGTGATCTGCTGCATCAGCTCCTGGATCTGCTCCAGCTCCGCCGCCGGCTTTCTCTCCACTATTCCTCTCACGGCGTCGGCGTTCCTCTCCAGGCTGCGGAACAAGTCTTTGTACGGCGCCGTCACCCGGCTGGCCCGCAGCCGCGTCACCCGGGCCTCCAGGCGGCGCGTCTGATTGGTCAGCTCGCCGACCGTCGCGTCCCACGCGGCGAAGCAGCGGTGGCAGGGTTCGCAGGCGGGGAAGTCGCCGCGGTGGCCGCGGGCACATTGGTCACAGCGCGGGCCGGACACGCCCGCCGCGCAGGTGCACGCGCCGGTGGCCCGGTGGCACTGCCCGCTGGAGATCCCCCGAGAGTCGCAGTCGCAAGCTGGAGGAGGAGGAGAAAAAAAAAAAAAGCTCATCGCAGGAATCCAAAGAAACAACCGGAGCCACCAAACGTTCACCGGGAGTTTTCTCAACCTCGAAAAGTAAGATTCACGTCTTCATATAAAAAAAAAAAGATTTGCAGCAGAGTGTTTGTGTTCTTAAGTCTCCCGAAGGAAAATGAGACATTTGACCTCCTGTAAATAAACTGCAGACCATGAAGGTCACAGCGGCTCTCCCTCCCCAGAGAAGAAGAGGAGGTCTGGTCACAAGTCACAAGGAAGGAATGCAAGGTTGGTGAGGCCCCCCCCCCCCCCTTCATCTTATGATCGGAGAATTTATGAAGATAACGGTCAAGAGAAAATGTTACATCTGTTTTTAAAAAGCACCAGCCAGGCGATTAAAGCCACCATGAAGACGGGGGACGCGTTAAGAGGCCTCCTCGCCGGCGCAGCTACGCGTTACTCCCACGCGTTTCTCAGCGCGTGGAAGCAAAGCGACGTGCAGCTGCTCCAGCGGCTCACGGGCCCTCTCACGGGGAATGCAGCGGGAATCATTCAGGGTTCCTGAGCCCTCCGGGCGTTGGTGCATGACGAAAATGGGACGCCTGGGGAGTTCTGGAAAGAACATCTGGTTCTCATGAGCTGGGAACGACCTCCTCCTCCTCCTCCTCCTCCTCCTCCTCCTCTTCCTCCTCCTCCTCCCTCCCTCTCGGGTCCTCTGAGGATGAGCCAGCTACTGGGAAAAAGAACTGCACGGTTTGTTCAACTCACGATGAGACCGAAAAGCGGAGCTGCAGCTCGCTGATTCATCCCACAAACATTTGAGCCCCCGCTGGTGGCCTCATGAACACCACATCTGAACACCACACGGCCGCACGGAGTGAACAGTGCTCCTCCATGAAGGAGTCTGCTGGAGAAGGTTTGTTGTTACCTACCGTGACATTTGACCTGCGGGTCCCCCCAGAAGAGCTCCCTGCATTCTCGACACGTCTTCCCGCCGAAACCGGGTCTGCACGAACACTGTCCCGTGACCTTCAGCGACAGCCGAGACGCAGAGAACATACAGAGGGGAGGAGGGGGGTTACAGACAAATACTGTTTGTTTCACGTCTTTTCTTCCACAGAGAAATGTTGACTCAGTACTCAGAGCTTCCTTCCTGCGGTGGAGCGCAGCCAGTAAACACAGGAGTCCGAATGTTTGTGTGCGCGCTCGCTAATCTCTTCTCACGGTGCACGATTGTTTGAGAGGGAGAGAGAGAAGCGCTTCCCCAACAGCTGGAGTCCATCCATCAAACGCAAACCCAAACACAGACGGGGGGAAAACTCCCAACGACCAGTCCGCCGACAGACCGGATGGCGTCACGCCGGCTCACCTCGTCGCAGGAGGACCCGAAGGAGTGGACGGGGTCGCAGTCGCAGCGCCGGCAGCCCGCCCCGCCCGCCATGTCCCACGTGTCGGCGGCGCAGGCGTCGCAGTTCTGACCGACCACGTTGGGCAAGCAGGGGCACTGGCCGCTGCGGCGGTCGCACTGGCACTCGCCGGGGGAGGAGCAGGCCCGAGGTGACGTGCCCGCCGAGTCGCACGTGCACTCTGCGCACGGGAGGAGAGACGTTTATGCAACGAGGGGAAATGCGATTTGTTACCTGTGTCGCAACGTCTAAGCTGAACCACGTGCGCCGGCGCACAGTAATCCAGCGGCGTCAACAGCTGTACTCACTCCAGCAGGTCTGCGCGGCCGCGTCGCCGTGGTAACCCTGTCTGCATTGCTGACACCCGTAGCCCTCGGTGTGATGCAGGCATTTGAGACAGGCGCCCGTACGAGCGTCGCAGGACCCCGGGTCGTGCATGTCGATGTTGCTGTTGCACTGGCAGGGCAAGCAGCGCCCGCCGGGCACCTGAGGGTTCCCGAAGTAGCCGGGGGCGCACTCATCACACCTGGCACCTGGAGGTGGGGGCAGGAAGTGGAGTCAGGGGTTTTTAACGTTAGAGGAGGCCTCAAGTGCTGCTCGGGTTTCACGTGAAGACGCGATGAGATGAGCTGCAACGAGCTGCTTACATAAAAACAAATCTGTTCTTACTAATTATGGTGTGTGTGTGTGTGTGTGCGCGTGTGTGTGTGTGTGTGTGTGTGTGTGTGTGTTTGCTTACCTTTGTATCCGGGGCTGCACACACACACCAGCTGGTTCGCGGCAGCCGGGAGGTAACAGCTGTCTGAAAACTGGCGTCCGCTGCTCGGGCCGTCGGGGCACATGCAGGGACGGCAGTGGCCACCCGAGCCCAGCTGTGGGTCACCGTGGTAACCGGCCAGACACCTGGAAGTGAAGGAAAAAGGTGAAGTAGGGGGGGGGCGGTCGGCTGTGCTCGGAGGTCCTGCGACTCGGCGGTCGCGGCGCCTGACCTCGCGCAGTGGCGTCCGGCGGTGAAGTCTCTGCAGCCCTGACACTCGCCGCTCTGAGGGTGGCAGTACTCGCTGTGGCCGTTGCACTGGCACGCTCGGCACTGGGGGAAGCCCCAGAAGCCCGGCAGGCAGTGGGAACAGTGGCGCCCCGCGGCGCCCGGCGCGCACTCGCACTGGCCCGTCGCCTCGTGGCAAAAGGCGCCGACGGAGCCCAGGGGGTCACAGCCGCAGGCTGGGGAGGGGGGGCGAGATAAACAAGGTCGTCATATTCCTCGGGTGAGTCGGGGGCCTGAAAAAAAAAAAAAAAAAAGACTCACGTCTGCAGCCGGCGGGGCCGAAGAGGAACGTGGCGGGCGCACAGCGGTCGCAGTTCCTGCCCGCGACGTTGGGTCGACACCGGCACTGGCCGCCGCTGGCCTCGCACACGGCGCTGAGCGAACCCTGGGGGTCACAGCGGCATTCTGGGGGACAGAATAGCAATGAAATGAAAGGAAGAAGCACTCCCGGGGGGGTCCGTCGGGCTGCAGGAGGTGCTGCGGGAGTTCACGGCGTGCACACGAAGCGCCGGACGTACCCACGGCGCCTTTGTGCAGCAGGGCGGAGACGCTGAAGATGTAGTCGTTGCAGATGTCGGTCAGAGGGCTCTTGATGACGCTCTGGCTGCTCTCCAGACAGCGGTAGCGCTGGAACGTGTCCCACGCTTCGTCCCCGTCCAGCCCGTGGAACATGTTCAGCTCCCTCACCGAGGGTATCAGCACCAACTGCCCGGGAGGAGGAGGAGGAGGAGGAGTCATGAAAGCAGTGATGAAAACACAGTTCGGGAGGAGGAGAGCAGCAGCCCTCAGGCTACTGAGCCAATTTCACCGACAACAGAATGCAATAATGTTGCAAAACAACAACAAGCCGTCGACAGTAAGGGAACGTTTTTTCGCGGCTTTTAATCGGCGTACCGAGTCGATGAGCGTGTACGGGCTCTGGACGTCGCCGGCTGACGAGTACAGCGGCAGAGTGAGACGGATGGTGTAGTTCAGTCCTCTCTCCAAGCACACCGGCCTCCCCAGCGACACGTGCCTGAAACACAGCGGGCAGTCGGTGTGTGTGTGTGTGTGTGGACGTCCTGCCGGAGGGACACAGGCGGGCGGTTCTACCTGGATCCAGGCGGGAGGGAGACGGACTGGTCGTCCTGGTCTTCGCGGCCGCCGCAGAAAGGGGCGTGTTCCTGGGGGGTGGAGGCGGGACGCTGCACCCGGACGTCCACCTGCTCCCACTGCTCGGGCAGCTGCAAACACACAGAGGACGTGTGTCCTTTTCACCCTCAAAGCGTCCACGCGGTGCCACTCGTAGTCGACGCACACACACGCGCGCGCACGCACGGCGTTTGAAAGCCGTTTGTCACCTGCGGCTCGTAGCGGATCAGGACGTCGTAGTCCATGGACTCGGGGACGTTGTCCACGGTGAACTCCAGGTAGGCTCCTTCCGGGACGTTGACGAAGCCCGGGCCGGTCCACGTGGGGCTGCGGTCCAGAGGGCGGGGCCTCGGCACCACCGTCACGCCCTGCCCGGAGGTCAGAGAGCCAAGCTGTAACGTAGCGTGACGGCGGCGGCGTGTACGGAGGGCGGTCGGACGGACGCACTTACGGGGCCGTGCGCGGCGTCCTCGGCTTCGTAGGTGTAGTGGTCCAGGGAGACGGAGTAGAAGCCGGACTGGACTCGATCGCAGCGCCTCCCGTGCATGTGCTCCCTGCACGCACACTGACCCGAGCGGGGGTCACAGCTGGGGAGGCGGAGGACATGCATGACCTTCACGCTTCGAGATGAATCCACATACGACACGATTACAAAATAAGACCCCTCAACATACTCGTCGTGGACGGCCCCGCCGTGGTCGCAGTCACACGGCCTGCAGCCGTCCATGTCGTTGGACAGACCCCAGTGCTGCGGCTAAAAGGACGGGGAAAAAAAACAAAACAGACCTTCCTTTGTTCCCAAGCAACAACAAAGACCACAATGCCTTAGCCGAGGCGGCTGTGCGTTTGCGTTGTGCGCACCAGACACGCGTCACAGTTGTGTCCGCCGACGAGTCGCTTGCAGAAGCAGCTTCCGGCGTCCGGGTCGCAGGGGTTTCCTCCGGGCAGCGTGCCCAGCGGGTTGCAGGTACAAGCTGCACACACACAGTCAACCCGTCAAATGTTCTCCAACGAAGGCCAACCTTCAAGAACCTTCAAATCCATGACAATGATGCTACTCCTTGTTTCCCCGCAGAGAATAACGTGTTTGCAGTGTAGATTCATGTGCAAAACACAAGTGGAGAACAAAGAGGAACCCTTAATGAAGCCTTATTTGAAACGAGTCGCCCGCGAGCCTTACGCAGGCAGCCGTGAGGCTCCGCCCCCAGGCCGTGGTGGCCCTGTCTGCAGTGGTCGCAGCGCTCGCCCTCCACGTTGGCCTTGCAGCGGCACTGGCCCGAGATCAGCCCGGCGGCCACGTCGGTGCGCGGGTCGCACAGCCCGCCCTGCAGAGAGCCGGCCGGGTCACAGTCACACGCTGGGGGAAGACACGAGAAGAGGACATGAGGGGGACGTGCGATCGGGGACGTGCGATCGGCGGGGACGCGTGACGTTGGAATGAGCTCATCCTGTAGTAAAAGCACATCTCCATCTGTCAGCGAGAACCGAGCAGAGCTGCAGACAGCGTGCGACTCGGGGGGAGGGGGAGGGGGAGGCGTCTCACGGCCCCCTCGTCCCACTCGTACCCCGTACTCACGCGCCAATTACAACCGAGACGCGACAGCCGCTTCTTCTCGCTCTGCACTTCAAAGGCGGCGGATCCAGGTGTCGCTCGTCCGGGGGAGACGACGACGTGATGGCGAGGAGGAGAGAGGGCGGAGGAGGGAGGGGGGAGGTCACTCACGCTGGCAGACGTTGGGGTCCCTGAGGTCGCGGTTCGGGTGCTTGTAGTAGAAGGGCGCGCACTGCTCGCACTGGCGCCCCGCCGTGTTGTGGCGGCAGTCGTCGCACACGCCTCCGCTGGCGCCGCCGGTGGTGGCGTACACGGCCGGGTCGAAGTGGCACGACGCGGCGTGCCGGTTGCACTCGCACCCTGCGGAGGGGAGGTCGGGGGAGCAGATTGGCTTTTTGTGGTCAAGCGCGGCGTGAACCGGCGTCCGCGTCGGCGGCGTTCTTACTCTTGCAGGCGTGGCTGTTTCGGCCCTCCGCTGGTCTCCACGGCAACTCCTGGTAGAAGTCCTGACAGCGCTCACAGTTTAGTCCCTCGGTGTTGTGATTACACACACAGCGGCCATGGACCTACACACACACACACACACACACACACACAATAGGTCAAGTTAATATCAATTTGAGATTAAATAGAGATGAAACCTTCCACCCTTTCTTTATTCTATGAATCAGCTCTTCGTATATTGGCGCCGTGTGTTCGGTACCATTCCCTCGATGGCGGCCGGTGTTCCGTGGTCGATCGGGGCGCACTCGGAGGCGTGGCCGTAGCAGAAGCAGTTGCCGCGGACGACCATGTCGTAGAGGGCGTAGTAGTACTTCTCCGTCACCTCCTCGCGGTAGTCGAGCAGGTTGTCGCCCAACGTGTGGAGCTTCAGGAACTTCACCCGCAGGTTCGTGATCTTCAGCATGTCTGCAGCCGCACGCACGCACACACACGCACACAGGAAATTGAGTGTCAGGTTCATCACGTTTTTTTATTTCGTTTATATATTTCTATACGTTTCTATATTTTCAAGTTACTCGCAGGGTTTTCGACCTCAAAGACGCCGCCGCTGTTCCTCACACACCCACAGTATTTCACCACGTACTTAACACGAGGTGTGTGTGTGTGTGTGTGTGCGTGTGTGCGTGTGCGTGTGTGTGTGTCTCAGTCTGGATGCGGCGCACGAAGGCCGGGTTCGCTCCCACATGTGAGATTCCGTGCAGCGCTCGTCCCGTCTGATACTGATAGAACCACCTCAACGCCATGTGCTCATCAGACGCCACGCCGCGCAGGTCAAAGGTCACGCTGCGGGCAAACAGAGGCCCCACAGTGTTCGCTCTTTTATTTTGGGCAGATGTTATTATAAGGCCATAAATATTAGGATTATAAGCAGGTTTTTAAATACTTTTTTTGGTTTTGTCAATAACTGGTTGTTTCTCCTTATAAATAACTAAAGGCGGACAGAGCATCAACTTTATACACATTTTAAGAGGCCAACAGTCATAATAATACAAATTAACACATTATAAAGGCAGTTTAAGGATGAGCTCACTCTGTATCTTCAGGCTGTAGGGGTCTTCAATCTCAAAGACGGGGTCCAGCACCCGAAATATCACCTAACAGAGTGAAAGTTTACATCCAGGGTGACTCTTAATGAGCTGCTTTTCCTCCTCAAATCCTCAGAGATTTCCGTAAAAAAAACCTACAATCAAATCAACAGAAAGAGTAAAATACTAATAAAACACTCCTCACCTCTCCCTCCGTGGACGGTTCGATGTCGGAGTAACGGGAGTCGCAGATGATTTCGTTGACCTTGGCCATCGGCCCGGAGGGCACGCCGGGGAAGGAGGCCTCGCAGTCGTGGGCGAAGTAGCGATAAACCTGCCACGTTGTCCCGAAGTCCATGGAGCGCTCGATCACCATGGCGGCCGGCCGGAACGTCTGAGAGAAGAAAAAAACGTTAACCGCCGCATTCCGAACGAAAAGCCTCTGATGAAGGTTTTAATAAAACAAAGAATACATTTGATTTCTCTGATTGTTTTTCCAATGAGATTAAGTGTAAATATCTCATATTTTTCCTTTGGGGACCATAATAATAAATACACCTGTATGTTATATATGTGTTGTTCCTGAGAGGGTGGCGGCCCGATCCCACAGCGGGATGAGACCGGACACTCGTGTGCCGTCATTACGGCGTCGAGGTACGAGGCCAGCTGGTCCTCGTCACGGAGCCGCCGACCACGTGAAAGCCGGGAGAGCGGCGTTATTTCACCGCTGACCCTCAAGCTCCGCCCCTTCCTTCCTCTCTTCCCACCGGCCTCCAGAGACCATAAACCACTTCCCCACATTCCTCCGGCGCAGCTGTCCGACGGCGCGTTTATCTCCGTGGGTACGAGAGCGGACGGCGAGTGCGTGTGCGTGTGTGAGTGTGCGTGCGTGTGTGTGCACCTTGAAGGTCATGATAAGGTGCGTGAAGTGAAACTCGGCCTCCAGGTCCAGCTGGATCGTCACGTTCTCCACACCTGCAGGTAGAAGGAAATCATTAAAAAGTGACGCCGAGGCGCAGACGGACTTTCTCACGCACTCAAACGTAATTCATTCCCAGTGTTTACGGCTCCTCTGCACGTGTTTATGCAGCTGAGGCTTCTTGAGGGCCTCGTCAGTCTGCGGCTCTGGATTGTGTGTCGCAGCAGCTGATCCTCAACCCTTCACCCCCCCCCCAGTTTATGTGTAAATGTGGAGTTAATACAAATATCTCTGTTCGTCACACGTATCAAAGCCCGGATGTGATCTGGAGGACGACTGCCGGGGGAATCGGGAGAATCTCAAGCGAAGCTATTGTGCGTCTGCGGCTTCCTGCTTGTGTTCAGAGCCGCTGGGAGGGAGAGACGGAGGAGACGTTCCACTGCAGCTCCAGCTTCTCACCACCAGTGAGACGTCTGTCAGGGCGCAAATTAAGGAGGTGATGATTGCTGGTTTCCCCCCCCCCCAGAGTGGACACTGCGAATGAGGCAGGGGTTTGTTTCTAGAACAGATGTTACGCCGAAGTCCGGATTCGCCATTCGGAGGAGTCGCGTAGTTCTTCACAAAGAAAACAACAAAACAAAGGAAAGACGAGTCTCACAAGGACGCAAAAAGCTCACTCCGTTTTTGAGTTGTGATGACACACCTGTTCGGCCCCAGCACACCTGTGAGCCCCGCCCCCCCCCTGTTCCCTGCAGCGAGAGGTCCTGTGAATCTCCCGCTTACTCATTACCGAGCGCGGTTCCCACGAGAAGAGCCCCTCGCCGCCCCCCCCCCCCCCCCCTCCCCCCCTCCTCTCACCGTTCTCCGACTGCCACCAGGTCTTCAGCCGGTTGTGGGCGAAGGTGGTGACCAGGTTGTCGATGGCGTGGCTGCCTTGGTTGCTGTCCTCGTCGAAGACGCGCCGCGAGTCGCACACGAAGCATTTCTTCTCCTCCTGAGTGTGTGTGAGGGGGGGAGAGGGGGGAGAGAGGGGGGAGAGAGGGGGGGAGGGGACACAAAACCAGATCAGTGAAAATGAAAAGTAACCGGATCCACAGAAGAGTCGAACGGCGTGTTCTCCGTTCTTTGTCCCCTTTGACATAATATTCTTCAAACATCTGATCTTACTTTTTATCAAAATAGTTCCCAGCTGGTTTCTGTCGATCCGCTAACTGATTAATCGACTGTGAGTCTCCAGCGCCGACGACGCATCACACGGAGTTCACGCCGCGCGACTGTCCCAATATGGCAGCATGGGAATAAACAAGAGTGGTTTGAGAGGACGTCTTCCACTAAAAGGCTCCCTCCGCCCTCCCTTCCCTCCCCCCATCCCCCCACGCGTCGCCATGCGGCTCATACTTGAGGGCTGTGCTCATCCTCAGGAAGCGGAGGAAAAGGCCCCGCAGTGTGTCATTTCATAAGGACGCCATTCACACAGCCAACTCGCCGTAGGGGTGTTTGATTAGAAAAAAGGTCCCCCTCCCTTCCTCCCCCCCTCTCCTCCCATGTAGGACACAGCGAAGCGATTGTGAGGCCACACAGCGCTTTTATTGTGGAGAGGAATGTCTGGACAGACACTTCAGAAGACGGCGAGCAGATACTGTACGCGTGCACGCGCCCGTGCATCACGTGCACGCACCCACGCATCACGTGCACGCACCCACGCATCACGTGAGCGCGTCCTTGTAAACAAAAGTACATATTTTTTAATCAAAGCCAATGTTTTGATTTATTTATTTCCAAACACAGTTGCACTGATATTCTTCTAAACGTAACTAACTTAATAACTCTGCTATAACGGAACGTATAGAAATGTAAAACTAGAACTACAGGTCAGATCCCATTGAAACGTGGTACAAGATACAAATAAATGGGACATTTTCTGTGTACAAATGATGTGTTATGAGCATATTTAGATTATGGGCCAATGGGATTCATCCACCTTCACTCTCTTCGTATCGATTTATAACTTAAACTTCAAATCCTCCTAAAATCAAAAGACACCAAGATGTCTTGTGTTTGGACGAAAGGTGTGGATTCGTTTAAATATACAGATAACTACTTTTAAAGTCTACATAAAGGCCAAAGGCTCACAGTTGCTTCACCTCGTCCTCCCGTGCAGCATCCACCCGTTTCTTACCTCCAGATGCCCGACGATGCAGAAGCGCTCCGGACGCTCCGCGCCGCAGGTGGAGGAGACGGAGAGCTTGTGCGCGCGGCCGATCAGCAGGTCACCTGTGGCCGGATAGCAGCTGCCCTCCGTGCACACATCCGGGAACTCGGGCAGCTGCTGCTGCGCCCTGACGGAGCAGCACAGCGCTGCGGGGAGGAGAGGAGAGGAGCCCGCTCAGCCAACACGCATGGATCTCCATCATCACGAAAACAAATATTCTCCTTCATACCATAAAAACCCCAGAAGCAGAGCAGACGCCTTTGGCCTGAATCAAAACCACGTGGATTCTCTTAAGCAATAATATCTAATTTAATCATCAAATCTTCCTGTGGCATCTTGGCCATTTCTCAACTCACAAAACACATAATAACGACTGAGTGGTTACACGTCATGTGTTACTTCCATCGCAGCGCCTCATACGGTTTGGACATTCCAGCACAAAATAACACAAACTCACCCAAAGTCGTTATGAAGAGGACCGCGGGCGACATTTCCAGCAGCAGCATCGTCAGTGGACGATGTGGACGCGTCCTGCAGCTCTCACGGAGTCTGAAGTTACAGGGTTTCACTTCTTGTACCAGTCCGCCTCTATGGAGTGTGGGAAGTGCCGATCCCAGGATGACCCCGGGTATGCAGTGTGAACAGTGCCCCAGTAGTCACTGAAAACATGCACCATGCTGAATTATTCAGGTAGGTAGTAAAATGTGCAATGTTGGGGTTAAGTGTCTTTAGACACTATTTGTTTCTTTGAACGTCATTATTATTATACACAGAATATTTAAGCACAAAAACATGAGCATCAAAGTATAGCCAACGTGACCATTATGCTGCATAGAAGATGCATTAATGTGTCCATATCATTTTACATATGGAGCTAATTTGAATTACTTTGCATAATTTTTATCGGCTGCAGAGATTTCCCCTGATTGATGAAGCTTCATCTCTATCCACAGAGTAATATATCTGTTGGTTACGTTTTGTATCATTAATCTTTCCACAGCGTGCTAATCTTTTTTTCATTTCAATATGTGGGTTTAATATTTGATAAATATATAACGACACTGCCCCCGTGTGTTCTTAATGAGGACCTACAGCTTAAAACAGCCGCAACTCATTGGTCTTTACTTTTATTCTTTTCCTTCTCATGTTCTAATAAAGTTAGCTGCAGGAAAGCAGAGCCACAATATGAATGTATAACAGAAACACAATGAGATATGTGCACAAAGCAGCAACAAACCACGAAACATTTCTAATGATAATGATAATTAAATTCTCCATAGACAATGTTTGTGGAAACTGTTTGATTTTTAAACACAAAGTTGTTTATCATTTTTAACCGTATCCTGATCAGCTCATCACGCTGCTGCTGCAACAAATGAGACCTGAATTAATAAATATAATTGTTGTGATTAGATTAACAATTCAAGTCCTTATGTTTTTTTCCTCACATGAACATGAACGGTGCAATAAAACAATTGAGATCACAATTAATAAAATATGTTTTTTAAGTTGTTTAGGAAAACCTCAAACCGGTTTAATACCATGTAAAAATTCAGTTATTAATAACTTAATAACTTCCTTCGCTCGAGCCTAAAGGACTAATTGTGCTTTAAAGAAGTTAATCTCGCCCCCCCCAAAAAAATCACATCATATTCTCACCGGCAATGAAGATGCTGCTCGTGCGTGAAGATTCTATACAACTAATTCATCACACAAAACACCACATGATTATCTGTGATCTCTTTTACAATGTCCCTGAACCCCTGAAAGACCCCCTCACGAGTTCTCCAGAGGCTAAAGGTTCTCAGTAGAACCCTCATTCTTCTGTCGCCGACGACTTTGTCTCCCCACATGCGTGTGTTTCCCACGTCACGCAGCAATCCGCTGAGTCAGCTGACCTGTGGCGACGTGGCGACGCTGGGATTTACAGCATCTGTGTTTGATAATAAACGCTCCCGCGTCGGGCCTTCTCCCGTTTACAGCATCCCCTGCAGCCCGAGGGTTTCTCCTCTTCTTAAGCTCCAGCTTTATTCGATTTAGGTCAATTATTAAAGTCTGTGTTCCCTCAACAAACGTTCTGCCTCCACCGATCCCACTTAAATCCACTTGTGTTCTGCGAAAAGGTAAAAGATTCAAGGCGACTAGCGTGATGATTTTAGAGCCAGAGACACGCACTCTGCTTCTTCCCCCCCCCTCCTCCCTCTTGTCTCCGTCATCGTGTCTCTCCTCCCCGCTGAGAGGTGGAGCGCACTGGGAGGAGAGAGGAAAGGAAAGGAGGAAATTGGCAGGAAGGACCGCGTCGCACCTGCCGCTGCTGCTGCACGGCTTCTTCGTTTCTCCTTCCTCTCACCCCCGCCCTGTTCTTCTCGTCCTCTTCTTCTGTGGTGTCACAGCCTCAGGTGAGCGATGGGCTGTGGGAATTCCTCGCCGGCCGCCAGCAGCAGCAGCAGCGGCGGCGGCAACGCTGGAGGTGAGAAAAGACCTTTTGTTTATTCCGATCAAACTTCATCCGTGTTTCAGCTTTAAGTAATTTTTTTTTTCTGTCAGACAATTCTGTTAAAAGGTTCAGTTTGTCATTTTTGTTCACCGTGTAACACAAAAGGCCAATTTTGAAGGCCCTGAATCAGTCTGAATGTTTGTGAAGGGTATCAGAGGAGCAGAGTTCAATGCTCCGTCCTTACTGTTCATCCTACATTTCCAACCTAATGTCTGATTATTGTATAAAGTTGTTTTTTTTGATTGGATATGAACCGCATGCTCCTTTTTAAATCTTAAATTTTGCTTCAAAATGCCAAAACAATAGGAGACGTCTGCAAATTTAAATAAATATGAAGGTCATCAGTTAAACGGGAAAAAAATAAATAATTGGATGAATATTTAGACGTTTTATTTCCTCTGCTGTGACTTCAGGACGAGTCGAGTCTTCACCAAAGATGTAAGTTCATTTTAAACCTTTCACGTCTCTCTGGAAAAGATCACACACACATTTACAAACACGTCCGCGTTGTTTGACCTTTCCGGGATGTTCTCTGCTAACGTGGAGCTTTGAATGTGTGTGCGTGTGCGTGTGTGTGTGTGTGTGTGTGTGTGTGTGTGTGTGTGTGTGTGTGTGTGTGGTGACAGATCAGAGGAGTCTGTGGCCGAGGATGAAAAAAGGAAGTGAGTGGTTCAGTTCGCATTTTCCATCTGTGGATGTCACATCGGTTTATACGTAAATAAATGACTTCTAAAAAATATATTTCACATTTTGCATAACGTGTTTGTGTGTTTAGGAACTATGGAGGTGTGTATGTGGGTTTCCCTGCAGACCTGAGCAACATTCCCAAAGCACAAATAGGATCCCTCAGAGGTAACACACACACACTCACTCACACACACACACACACACACACACACACTCACACACACACACACACACACACACACACACACACACACACACACACACAATTTCCTGTTGAGTCTGCAGGGTCATGATGGCGTGGGACAGAGGAAACACTGATGATTTCTTCACAATCTGCATGTGTTCCTGCTTTGTTTATTGTCTTGTTTTTTAACCATTATGCGTGTGCGTGTGCGTGTGCTTCACATGTAAAACACGTTAGTGACTCACGTGGTTTAATGTGTGTGTTAATTAATGAAACGGGCGTCCACAGAGCAGGAGAGAGACGTGTTGTCCCTCAGGAGGCCTCTGTGGGGGGACGGATTCTAATTCTAATGAAGATCCAGGTGTGTGTGTGCGCCTCCTTCAATGTCTGTGTGTGCGTGTGTGTGTGTGTGTGTGCGCGTGTGTGTACGTGTGTGTGTGTGTGTGTGTGTACGTGTCCCATTAACCAGCTGTGATGTCAGTGTGGTGTGAAAATACATCTGCAGGTCCTTGAACCTTCCGTGAGGATCACAATAACTTCTGTTGTCAGTATTTGTACCTGGAGAGTGAAACCGTGAAGGGATGACTTTATCATTTTTTTATTTACTTTATATACATTTTGCTATAATGTTCCTACTTTACAATCGAGTTGTATCATAACTCATAAGAACCCAACCTCACGTCAATAGCAACATTCTAATCTCCATCCTCTCGTTTCGACCGGTCGAATGAATCGTGCTGCTTTCCTTTGGGACCAACAGAAGAATGATGACGAAAGAGTCTCAGAGGGGACGTGGCAGAGGACACTGAGGACCGACTATCACGTGGGATCACATCTGAAAGCACATGGGGGGAATATTCACCCAATAAAACTCATAAAAGACCAAAAGCAAGCATTTGTGTTTCTCCAAAGCCGGACACACTTCTGTCCTCTTCATCTCCAAAAATAACAAGAGCACGTCGACGAGCCGCCGACTGCGCTGAGCAGGACTCCACGGTGACGCTTGCACCGTTGCCACTGGCAACCAGTTATTGGCCTTTGGTTTTTTTTGGCGACCACTTTTAACACTCAAACATCTACGATGAGATTCAAAGTTTGTACTTTTTCCTTTTTTTTAATAATCACAGTATTTTATTTAAAGATTGTTTTCTGTAGATTGAATGTAAGTTATTTAAAGAGTGGGAAGTGAGAACGTGTTGCAACAAGTTGATTGGTACAAATACGTTAATAAAATAGCACAGAAATGACTCAAGAGGATTTGTGTCGTCATTGAACAAGTTTATTTGTCAAATGTAAAATGTTGTTACACATTTTGGTCACAATTCTGCAATAATCTAATTAAAAATAATCTTTATAAAAAATAAAAAAAATGAACATCTTAAATATTTACAAACAAAGTTTTGCCTCTTTTCTCATAACGGAATATTTGATTTGTTTGAACTGGAATAAAGTAAATGCATTGATATGAACAGTGAATGATGGAAAGAATTCAGCTTCACTAAACATGTTTCCATGTTTCAAAGGAAGTGCGTTCAGCCCACTTTGTCGTACAAAAGAATGCCTGATCTGGTTCTTTGCACAGGCGCATTAATGCATGTAAGGCAGGTGTGCATATAAAGTGCATTGGAATAAATGGTGTGTGTGTGTGTTTACATGCTGAGGTTCATGTGGTTTTGAGGTCTAACTGAAGCAGAGGAAGCGCGTCACCTGGACGGCGGGTGAGGTGCTTACAGAAGCTCATTTGGATCAAACCAGCGCTCATCGTGACAAAGAAACGTTGCCCTAACGGATTCCTTCACATGAACCTTTTCTGACGACCACTTCCTCCCCTGACGCCAGCTTCCTGTACAACTGCGACAGGTCATCGGGTTGAGGCACTTTTGACTCTGGCGTGGACGGGATATCGAAATCAGACGACACCTGCGACCCAGAGAGCTCCTCCGGTTCCGATTGGCCGTAGCTCTCCTTAACCTGAGACACGGCGTTGGTCCAGGGGTCTCCTTGGCCCCGCCCCCCTTGCTCTGGTTGGAGGAGCAGAGTGTCGGGCAAATACGCGTCCAGGTTCTGCGAGGAATGATTGGACAGCGAGGCGGAGAGGGTGAGGCTGAAGTTTTCTTCGTGATCCGGGGTTTCCTCTTCGTCACCGAACAGGTCGGGGCTCTGGGAACCAGTCATTTTGGAGGGGGCGGGGCTGGGGGCGGAGCAGCAGGAATGTAATTGGCTTTTGAGGCTGTTCTGGCTGTCAGTCAGCACCTCCGCTGTAAAGAAGTCATCCCATTTGGGAGGATCAGAGGAGCCGCTTCCTTCAACCTCAATCTCCTTTTTCTGGTCTTCCTTCACCTCCTTTATATTCTCCTTTCCTTCCTCCTCCTCCTCCTCTTCTTCCTCTTCCCGCTGATCATCTTCCTCCTCGTCGTTGGACTCGGTGCAGTCCACGAAGTCCCGAGCCCCGGGCTTCGTTTCTGTGACCGTCAGAGGGAAAGAGTCCATCGGGTCCGCAGGCGGCGCCGTTTGCGAGCGACTCGACGCCTTCACTGAGGTTGGCAGAGATCAAAAATAACACTGAGTGAATGCTAATCAATACCTTTGTTATGGTAGAAGTTAAAGTGATTACGCACCTCTTTTCATGTCTTGGTCCAGCGTTGTCTTCTTCCTCACTGGCGCCAGGTGCCGCCCGCCAAAGAGCCCGTCATCGCTGTCCGAGTCTGATCAGAGGAACAGACAAGGAGGCGTAGAAACGTTTCCCCACACGAGAAATCACTTCAACACGCAAAGCCTGACGTCCAGCATCTCATCACAAAGTTCATGGACCAGAGCCCAGAGTCTCTACACGTCTGATGCAAACAGTGTGTCCTCAGTGTGTGTGTGTGTGTGTGTGTGTCTCACCGTGGGCGGGTGGCTCTGCCGTGCAGCGCTTGAGGACTCCCAGAGGTTTGTATACGGACGCCGCGTGGTCGGACTGTTTCCTGCACATCAGCTTCAACCTGTTCACACGCAGTGACGACATGATTAGTGTTTGTAATCAACACGCCGGCTTTAACATCCCTTTGATTGTTGTCGCATATTGATGCAATCTTCTCGCGACAGAAGTCGACGCCACTCACATCTGAGTGACCTCGGTCAGCGTCCGGCCGATGGGGACGACACTCGGGTAGACGTTGACTGGCTGGAGGTACGACAGGAAGTTTTTAATCTGAAGATCAGAAAAAGGAACATTCAACATGTGTGTGTGTGTGTGTGTGTGGATAAACAAAGACACCAGTAATCAAATATACCAAGTGGGGAAACATAAGCCTCTTTTTTTAACATTTTAGCAGAACGCTACCAGCTTCTAATAGAATGTAGCAGACTAATATACCGTCCATGTGTGAGCAGCCAAGTAGTCTGCTTTAATCATTTGAATAAAGAAATGGAGGCACCTCTGAGTAGGAGGAGTGGAAGCTGAAGCAAGCTCTGTAGGAACTGGCTCCCGTCCTGGAGACACAACAACACAAAGGCTAATTCAGGGCTCATAACGTCTGAGGGGGGTTAATAAAGGAATTCTTCTTTCACCAAGTATCTTATGCCTGAAAGATGAAGTTATGTAATCAGAGGATTCATATTTCCACCAACTCTGGATACGCGTTGTGAACCTGCGCTCACTTTATGATAACGCTGGTTTTCCTCATCCTCTCTCCGAACCACATGGTGGACGGTTTGATGCTGATGATGTGGAGGGGAGTCCCGTCGGGGGCTGAGCAGCCGCACGGCAGTCGGCTGCCGTGGAGAAACTCCTCATCCTGCAAGCACACACAAATACATTTAAACAAAGGGGTTAATTAAAGGAATGAACAAAGAACAACGGGCGTCACAGACCTTGAACATAACAAAATATGTTTCTGATAAAACAGCCTTGAACGTCTCTCTGCTTTAATCCTGGTTTAAAGCCGAGAGGAACCCTAGACAGACACGCTTGCAGAGCAGCACCTTCGGGTGTCGACAGGCGTGGATCTGCGTCCTGCGGTCGGTGGTCACGTAGCTCAGGATCTCCGGCATCTTCTTGAACATGGCCAGACTTCTGACGTGGATCTGAGGGCAACGACCCGACAGCACAATGTTCAACATGAATGCACGCTGGGTCTGCTCGTTCAGGTAGATCAGTGTTTGCGTCACCTGCGTGTTGAACTCCTCCCCCAGGTTGGTGAACAGGTATTCGTATCCATACGCGGCTTTACAGTTGAGCCAAACCACGTGATACGAACTCTGACTGATCCAGTTTCCAACAAGCTCCGAGATCCCGTTCAGACAGACCTCCTGCGCACACACACACACACACACACCTTTAAATGATACCGTTCAAACACAGATACACACTACAATCAATACACAGGACACACACTTCATATGGGCTTTATCAGCGAGGTTCAAACCACATCATTAGTTTCTGAATAGATTCCTGGCACCAAACAAATCCACTGCATGTAGCAGTTATTGTATTTATCACTTAGTGTGAGCATTTCTTCTTTTACATTTTCCTAAAATAAACAGTTTCTCTTCGATATCACTCAGGCAGAGGTTAAGACAACGTGAATTCTGCCCCGAATATCATAAACCTACCCGAGTGGGAATCTGGTAGAATCGTGGGTCGTAGAAAGTGGAATCCAGATAAACACTGTGAATATCCTTCACTCTGCGTGTGGAACACGACACAAGAAGGTTTAGCTGAAGGAACATTGTTCAACGGCCACAGTGAGAGCCTAGCGCTTTTACTATGGAGGGAAACTGTGACACAGAAAACACACCGGCTGCCAGAGTGCAGATGTTCTATTCTCGAGACGTCTCCAGCTGCCAACCTGAAGTCTCCTGTATACAGCACGTTGCCATGGGAACCCTCAAACAGGAACCTGCACACACAAACGCACCGTTTCACACTTTCACGTGTTCATAAACAAACGCACACAAGATGAAGGAGCATTTTAAACGGTTTGGACTTGCATAACAGAGCCAGGACAGTGGCCTGCGGGAAGCAACGTGACCACAACGTCTTCTTTCTGTCGAGGAAGCAATGGACAAGACGGTTAAAGACAATCAGCTGGTGGGGACACGGCTGATGAGCTACATGTGTAAAAGGGACAACACCCGGGTTTTACCTCTCCAGATGTCTCGTCGACCAGAGAAATCTGAGTTGGGCTCTCCAGCTCCAAGGGAACCTAAAGCATGACAGAAAGCCAAAGTTATTCACAGAAGAAGAGTCAAAACCGTCAATCAAAACTGAGAAAAGCAGAATAAAACACATTAAATAAGCCATAAATAAAACATCTTGTCAAGTCTTAATAGCCTGATTGTGGGTTAGAAGATGATACTCTTAATTACCATTTGCATACACGGTGAATAAGACAGTAACAGATTGGACTCACAATGTATTCCTCCCAGAAGGAGTACTTGGGATTGCTCAGCAGAAGCTCTTTGGTCACAAAGGAGCAGTAGAGCCTGACTGTACGACTACAAACCCAGAGAGATTACATTAATACGAATTTAAAAGGTTATTATTACCACTGTTATGGCATGACATCGTTGCTTTCAACCGTGACTGACAGTTGCTTATTGGATCAAAGATTCATGATAAACCCACTTTAATACATAGTAGATTGAGCCAAAATGCAAGTAAACTTCACCTGAACTGCAGTTTTCTCTTCAGTTTTGGTCCCTTTAGTCCTTTCATGTGATCTGTCAATAAGAGAGAACGCGGTCCTCAGTGAGAGCTGCATCTTAATGCACATCAGCGGTTAGCTAAAGGCTAACACCGGCTGATGGTGCTAGCATAGCGGACCTCACCTTTGTGACAGTGCGAGAGGAAAAAGGCGCGGGAGTATAAGTTCTCCCGGTCGAACCGGTCCAGAGACACCGTGGGATACTCCTTCATTCGACCCGCAAAGGAACTCATCTTCTGACCGAAGCCTTTGGTGATATCGTGTGAGAGTCGCCTCCAGCGGACGGAGCATATTCCGTCTGACGTCAAATCGTCTGTTTGGGGTTTTTCGTTTTTGCCCACCAACTTCAGTTCATCTTCTTCTTCGTTTCTTTTTATGGTAGTTCAGATGCGTTTAACTGCTGTCAGCGCCATCTACCGTCTGTTTGCCTACATGTATTCTTCTGTGTTATTAACTAACTACGACTATACCTCGTTCAAACGACGTTTCAACACTTTGCTTTTATCTTATTAAATGTATATTTAATTTTCATATGCTTTCCCCCCCACACTCGCCGAACACCTGAATCATGTCTAGAATATTGCACCAGTTAGTTGTTACACTTATCCCGCCGGAGCAAATTTGCGCCATCTCCTGGAAACCTTCCGTCCTCCAACACAGAAGAAGAAAGTTCACGGTAACCAGGCAACCGAAGCTAACTATTGCCACCGGCTAAGCTAACTGGCGTCTACACATAAACCAATTTAAAAATAACTCATGTAAGTAAGTGTTACCAGTCTTTGGATCAAATAGGAGCGTTAACGTTACGTGTGTCTATAAGGGAGTAATGTTAAGTGAATGAAATTACTTCGTCTTTGTTTTGTAGCCCGAGACGCGTCAGTCTCATCTGACCTCATTCGGACACTCAGACCTGCTGCTGGTTGTGTGTTTGTCAAATTTGCCTGATCTTCCTTAAACAATTCGATAAAACATGTATTTACTTAAGTCTGGTGAAGTCAGAATGTAAAACCGTTTTGCTTTTGTGTTATGGAAAACAAACAAGTTCATCCTTTTTAACCATAAAAGGCAGTTATGTATTTCCTGCTCCAGCCTGAGGTTAATTAAGAGGGACTGATGGGACAGTTACAACCTTAATTATAAGGCATTTTCTTGTCACGTCTTGTCAGTAATTAGAGACGAGCCATAAATGTAAGAACTTGTGCGTTTCCGTAACATCTTCCAGCATCGCCGCTATGTCGACTGCTACTGATAACAACTCCAAGCCCCGGGCTATGAGCCGAGCCAAAGAATGGACGGCAGAGGTGGAAAACCTGTTCAGATTCCAGCAGGCCGGCTACAGAGACGAACTGGAGTACAGACAAATCAAACAAGGAGCCTTGGTAAATATTCTAATATGAATGTGTAGTTGTGTCATTGATTCCCAAATAGCAGCACCAATCTCAAAATTCTTTTTGTTTTCAAACTTAGCTTTCTTAGGGAAAGTTTAATGGCGGGCCGGTATTGGAGGCCTTGGGTAGCAAAGAGACAATTAAGGTGTTTGAGCTTTTGAATTTGGTGCAGAACATACAGGCACAGATTCTCTGCACATGAATGAAAAACGTTTTCGAAACATGTCCTGCTGTAGAATTATTTCATACTTTCATACTCCATGTTCTCAAATAAAAACCTGCATATAAGAATGAAAACAGATGTGTATGGAGCGTTTGAGTTTACCAGTCAGCAATTACGTTCTTGAAATTTCACTCAGAATATTTCTGTATCCATAACGTGTTTGCACATTTATTTACAAGCAGCAGCAGCAGCAAACAAATCGGTGTTATTAATGAATAAAAGACATTAACTCTACAGCATAAAACCGGTTATAAGTGTTTCCCTTTTCCTTTCTTCCTCTAAAGGTTACATGAATTCCTGTGCAATAACAGGTCCTACTACTTACTGCATGTAAGACGTCAAATCAGCTCTAAATATCACGCGTGTCTGCGTTTCTGTTTGTTTCTTAGATTGACAAATGGCCAAAGTCCGGCTTCGTGAAGAAGCTCCAACGCAGAGACAACACAGTCTTTTACTACAGCAGGAAGAGGGAATGTGAGGACCGTGATGTCAACAAAGTCTTAGTTTATTCATATTAAGGTGTTCTACTTCTGATGAAAGTGAGCTCTGTTCAGTTTACAATGAAGGATTTTTAAAAACGGCCCGTGGGAATTGCTTTTTGTGGAAACGTGTGGCTGTGTTTCTCTTGGAGCAGCGTCTGTGTCGACATGATTCACCTCAAAGTCTCAATCTACAGCAGTAAACCAGACTGGAGTGCAACAAAGACAGCAAGGATGCTCTTTCTTTTTATTTTACCCCTATATTGTTTGATGTTATGTTTATTTGTAGTTGAAGACGTCACAAAGTGGTTAATAAAACTACGTCATGTTCACCTGAAGTTGTACGGATTGTTCTGGCACCGCTAAAAAAGTGTGATTAAATTACATTTCTACTGTAATAAAATATATATTTTACTGCATTTGTCTACGGTTGAATGAGGAGAGATTCCGTATCGTTGATTCCACGTCAGCGTAACTTATCATGACGTGTTTAAAAATGTGACTGAAGTTTTTTGCAGATTAAACAGCAGGCCCGTCACACTCTCCTCATGTGATGGTAACATGAGGGGGGAGATTATCCATGCAGCCCACTTGCTCTCACATCAGAGTATTTTTTCTTCGGATGAAGAACACATTGCCTTGCTTAGAGAATAAGACATTCATGTTTCAATATCTTGTTATTTTAACAGTTGACCCCTTGGGGCTGCACAGAAAAATATACAAGCTAAAGGGAGGACACCCTGCTGCGCCATAACAAGCAGGGCAAGTGAGTAGGATCGTATTAAATCAAATGTTTGCAGCTATAAAAAAAATGTATATCTACATGTATGTGTGACCACTTTTAATTCTTATAAAAGCACACTAAATGACTACGATTAGATGTCATCTCTGAGGTTTATTCTCATTTGAAGTCTGCCATCGTGTTGGTAATGCAAACTATTCGATAAACTTCCGACGTCACACACTTTTCAGAATAATACTTTTTTTTTTTAAGATTCAACGCAACTTACATCCTTTAAATATACAAAAGGTTCTTCCCAAATAAACAAATGAACGCAATAATAAAACATATTCTCATGCGGCGTAGAACGCGTTACTTTCTGAGCGAGGTTCGGCGGAGCTCGTGTCGGCCCAACGGCCGCTCGCCTTCCCCTTTAACGGCTGCGACCGGAGCGACCGGGCTTATTGCCTTTAAGTCACCCCGGACCGGCTCGTGTGAAGTTATGTCCCCGGCGGAGTCACCTTTCCTGAGGCGAGTGATCAACTTTAGTCGATTGGAAGAAACGGCCGCTCGTCGGCGTCCTCGCGCGGGTCTTTAAGACGTTATCGACCACTCTGCGGGGGGCGGGGGGGGCTGTTAGCTTAGCTTAGCTCAGCGAGCCGCTTCACAGTTGTCCTCGTAACGTTAACGCGTAAAGCTCAAGTGAACGTTAGCTAACGAGTAACGCGAGTGGAGGTGTAACGCTGATCCTTCGCGTGTTAATAACCGCATAAAACGGTGGATTTATCGCCCGCTCAACGGGGACGCGGTCCGGTAGCGTCGCGCCGTCGCTTAAGGCTAACGGGCTGTCAACGTTAAAGGTGTTCGCTTAGCTTTCGCTAGCAAGGTGAGCTACTAACGTTAACTATTTTGTGCCGTGATTGACAGCTGTCACAGAAAAGTGTGTGTGTGTGTGTGAGGGTTTTTTTTTTTTTTAATCTCTTCACCTCTCAACGAAAACGTGCTGCTAATGTTTTGACCGCAGCCGCTCGATATCTTCTTAATCTCTGAGGCTTAATGTTGATCCAACAAATGGACATTGTCCCCTGAGTGTCTCTTCCTCGGTCTCTGCAGGTCTCGGTGCTGACTGTCGCTGCACTGACATCCACCCAGAACCAGGAGGTAAACAAGTTCTTACCCTGTTTTCAAATGGCTCCATCTGAAAAAGGCATTCAATCATCTTCATTTATTAATTGCAGCTTGTTTTCGACGTAAACCTTTCATTTGCTTTTATTTTTGACTTCGTAATATAAAAGAAGGTGATCAACCAATTAGTTGATCAACAGAGAACTAATGAGGAACTTTTTGGATATTCTCAGTTTCATACGTAAACTGAGTTTCGGACGTTGTTTTTCTCAAAATCTTCTATGAAATGAAACTGAATATTTAGTTTTGTCGCTGTGACAAGCGAATCTGTTTTCTCTACTTCTTCATGGCATATTTACTAGCGCTTGTACACTTTAGATGATCTGAGGGCCTTCTTGTGTTGAGCAACCGATTAAGAGTATCCACATTTTCATTCATTTCCTACACCAACCTGCTGTGAAATGACAGTAATTAGTAGTATTTACTGGATTTGTATAAACCGTCTATGGCGGTGTCACATTTTCACCTTTGGCCCCATTTGAGACAAATATTTTTCTTCTTAGCGCGGTTAAGTCTTGTTTCTAAGAAGCCTAGTGAATCACAAGGCTCTGGAGCAATGGAGCTTTTATGGCGCCTCATAATGAAGCTGTTGTTTTCCGCCGGGTGTTTTCTGCTGAGAAATCTCTGCGTGGCTTTTATTTCCCTTTTGACCCAGAAAGCGAGCAGCAGCGGCCGCCTTTGTGGCCGACGACGTTCAACAGACGTGTTTAGCAGACTCCCGAGTGAGAGAACCTCTCTGCAAAGTTATTACTCAGCTGTGTCCCACGTGAACTTTGCCACCAGCTGTGCAAACTGAAACGGGATGTGCTTCAGTCCGTATCAACGTGCTGAGTCTGAACTTTCCTCTGTCTTTGGCTGCTTTTAGCGAACACTGCCGTCTGCAGTGAAGTTCCTTCATTCCTGCGAAAGGACTGAACTCTGAGCTGTGAGCAGATAAAGAATCCTCAAATTCCTCACGAGACATTTGGCAATATTTATTGTATTAAATCCGGGCTCAAAGGATCATAACTCAGGGCTGTTTGGTTAATCCAAGGCCTCTTAAACGATCTGTGGATAACCCCCCCCCCCCCCCCCAAGTTTATTAAAGGGTAAAATGATGAGCTAATTATGACTTTCATCATCAATTGATGTGCAAGAAAAACAGATTTTTTTCCTTTGTAGCGTAATCAGCGTGTTGTAAGACTTTGGTTTCGTATCAGCTTCCTCTTTTAAACCGCTATCATCATCATCATCATCATCATCGTCATCGTCGTCGCTACTCTTCTGTCTTCTTGAAAGATGGCACTGACTTGTGGTTGATCTCACATCTGGAAATGGAGGAAGTGAAGCTGAATGCTTTTTATTTAAATCGTTCTCTGTTCTTGAGGTTTACCCCAAAATAATATTTATGGCAGCAAGTAAATATCATTAGATGAACTTATTTAACCATTTTTAAAATCAAAGGCCCTTTGATTTAAGATAATTGTCAAAGTAAATGAAAGGTCTTTTCTGTGGTCTGCCTGAGGAGTTCACTCCCTGTTTGTTTCACAGGTAACGTGACAAACCCCCCCCCTCCCCCCCCCCCCTGGCCTCCGTAATGGCCCCATCGGGCTGCTGACCCCGGCGGCTTCCTGCACGCCGCGCAGAGGGCGGCGGCTAGGAGCTAGCTTGCTCGTTAGCGTCGCTAACATGCAGCACAGGCCCGGCGTCTCCAGGAGGCGGCACTGCTGAGAGGCGAGAGGCCTGTGTTTGTGCGTGTGTGTGTGTGTGTGTGTGTGCGCGCGCGCCGGGCAATGGATGACTTCACCACCAGGACGTACGGCACCAGCGGCATGGACAACAGGCCTCTGTTCGGGGAGACCTCGGCACGGGTAGGAGGAGCCTGCAGGAAGTGGTTCGATTACGCCCTGATGGATTCTTTTAGTAAACGTCCTCGCTGTCAACCACTTTATGACCAACAATGGAGCTAATAAGATTTTATACATGGACGTTAAAAGTTTCATAAAGAGAGCTGTCACAAGCATTTGAATACTCTGAATTCAGAAAAGGCTTCTGCTCTTAATCAAGAAGTTAAAAGCAAAACAATCAGGTCTTTCACTGTCGCTATTGTGTCAATGTGAAGTTAGGCGGTGCCGACGTGTTCCCCGATATCTCATTAGAAGATATAATCATCATAGTGTTACATCCTCATTAGAAACATGGCGCTGATTTTAGTTCATTGTTTTGAACTGTTTGTCTTTCCTGCAGGATCGGATCATCAACCTGGCGGTGGGGGGGTTCACGTCTCTGGTCGTTCTCGTGAGTTCAAATCTTCTGGATCAACGTTGTGCCGATTTATTTATAGACGTCGATGTTGCACCCGGATTTTCATCTGTTGGGATGAAAGCTTTCGTATCAAACGAGATCCCCAACCAGCACTAAACAGAAGTAGATGTTAAAGCAGTTATTATGGTTGAGGCCGGACTGTGTTCATGCTTTTTATTTTTGATCTGACCTTCTCCCTCAAACAGCCAGTGAACGTCTCTCCTGCTGATATCGTGCATTCTCCTTGCTGACACATCAAACTGGTTTATTTTCAGATTCTACTCATTTGTGTTGAGTGTTGAAAATCACTTTCCTAGTCTGTAAAAATCCCTCTATCCAATATCTGTTGCCGACTAACGTAGAAGGAAGAGGGTGTTTTGCTGATCATGTGCTGCTACACACAAAATGTCTAATAATTCAACACACACACACAGAGTGTGCTATTCTTTAAAGGAGCTCGTTTCAGACATTTGACATATCGGTCCTGTTTTGTGTTGCAGGTGACTGTGATCAGCTCGTTTGTGTTCCCCTCGTTGCCTCCGCGGCCGCTCAACGTCTTCTTCGCCGTGTGCATCTTGTTGGCGTGCGGATCGGCGATAGTGCTGGTAAATCCCTCCTTCATCCCGCCGGAGGAATCGCAACATTTATCACGACTTTGCTGCAGAACGACGGATGCAGCAGATTTTATTTTACTGACTTTTTATTTTGTCATAGCCATGTTTTTGCATACTTTTGTTTTTTTCTACAGATTCTTTGTGTCGTTTTGCTCTTAAAAGCTGCACAACAGGACTTTATTTTCTGTTGCTGTGAGAAAAAGATTTGTGAATAAAACGTTATTTTACATATAGTAAGAAACTTGACATTTTGAGTATTTTAATGAGAAATCATACTATAGAATAAGTAATCTTAGGACATTTCTTTTGCTATTTTTTGCACTGAAGTCTTTGTCAGCGTAGTTGTTAATTGTAAAACTTAACAAGTGCCTTTTCCTGTTTTCCCCCTCAGATATTTTGGTACCGGCAGGGCGACCTGGAGCCCAAGTTCAGGAATCTCATCTACTACATGCTGGCGTCCATCTTGCTGCTGTGTCTTTGTGCCAACCTCTACTTCCACGATGTCAGGTAACGACGAGGACACCAGGAGGAGGACAAAGAAGAAGGGAGGACATGGCCTTGGCACGTGGAGGACGGACTACTCGGGGAGACGCACACTTGAAGGAATGAATTTCCCAGCTGAGCTGCAGCAAACTGAAGATTCTCGGATCAAAACCAGAGAAGCTTTTTGGTTCCAGTGGGACGAAGACGGCCGGACTTGGTGCTGAAGCATAATGACCTCCACACTCCCAGACACACACACACACACAAGGCGTCAGTGTAGAAACCAGGATGTACCGTTCGAGGCCATGAGGCTGCCTGGAGGATGTTTACAGGAACATAAAGATCCTTAATCACAGTCGGATCGTCGCAGTAATGAGCTCTTCAACACTTAAAGGAAACATCCGCCCTTTTATCCCGCTGCTTTTCCTCCGGCTGAGTCAGGTTGAATTTTACGACTCGCCTCTTTTAAAGCGATATTTACAGTCGTTTTTCTAAAGTAGTGCTTTGGCGTCAGAAAATCCTGAATCACTTGAGCTGGACGGCGAGGACGGCGCTGTGGGTGGTAGATAACGGAATGTGCCCCAATTCCGTCCTACATCCGACTACTGTGACGTCAGTGCTGCTACGTAGACCGTTTTACAGTCGGTTCACTCCATGTGAAACTTCTCCATCAGGGACAAACAGGTTCTTACAAAGATGTGATAGATTTGTGCAGCTGTGAGCGACGCCTCCGATTCCTTCATGCAATGCATTGTGGGTAATTATATTTAACGTAATATGAACTGTATAATTGGGACACAATCAAAGCTTTAATTAATGTGCAGGATCCTTTAACGAAACATCAAGGAGATTAAATATCTATAAGCTGCCAAACTATTAGAATACAAGTCATGCAACTCGATTTATCGGGAAACCAAAATGCAATCATGTAAAAGAATATTTTAAAACCCGATTCTGTATTTTGTCTCACACTTGAAGCTGGAACCAATTGATGCCATTATAGGAAAAAAAAATAAACCGTATTGGAACTTAGTGCGGAGGTTAATATTCAGAATATAAAGATTAAAATTTCACAGGGAACAAATGTATGTTTTTTTCTTTTTTAAAGAAGTGTTTCCTCAAGATCCGGATGCTTCTGGTTAATAGCTAATCAGTATTTTCTTACTGCTGAATCCGATTTATTTCCATGAGGTAATCTGCTGCAAGCAAACCACCCGGAGTGAAGGCTTTTAAAAATCAGCGTCTTTTGCGTTTTGCCAACATGATTTTGTGTTTATTTTGCTCCAATTTCAATATGTTGCACTGTGGATGTGATCGGGGTGGATGTTTCCCTTAATGAGCATGTAAACACGCCGACTGAGCTGTAGCACAAACATATATGCAACATTCACATTCACATATGCAAACAACGTTTTTATTGTCAGAGCTTCTGATTCTCACAAAGTCTTGCGTGACACTTTTGTCAAAGTTGTGCACACGCACACCCTTCAAATCCCAGCCGGGGATTTGCAGAAGCAGCCTGGAGTTCACTTCCTTTGGGTTTACATCAAGAACTACGACGGCGGCACGTCGGTTGTGTCAAAGACGTTTGGTTCGCAGGTTGGATTCACGTGGAGCAGAAAAGCTGCAAATGACGAGTGAAACCGGCTTTAACGTCGGCCGCAGCATCGTGTTTTCTACGTGCAGTACCAAAAGAAAGACTTGACATTCATATTCAAGAAACTTGATTTGATGCCGATTAAGTTATTAACTTTCTGCCAAATCTATTCCCACAGTTATCTTTATTCCACGTGTCATCAAATCCCACGGAAATACCAGAACGTGGTAGAACACAGAACACGAGCAGATTCGGAGTCTGATTCTCATCTTTAGCTTTACGTCACGTGACCAAAGTCTTCTGCACTGAGCGGGAAAACAAAGCCGACTCAAACCGCCACGACTTCAGGATTGTCAAAGCCATGTGGTCCTTTATTGGTTTTATGTAATAAACAATTTACCCAGACTGCCTCTGTACTTCTTCCAAATGTGTGACAGTTTACAGAAACAATTTTAAATTAATAAATTTTAAGTGGACGCCAGAGACTTTGTTCGGCCATTTAAAACTAGCAATAAAAAAGGTTTTAATTTCCATCATTTATGTTGGTGAAAATATCCCCCCCCCCCAAATTGTAGCTATGGCACCGTTACTGTTGGTACATTTAAAGTTACTATGTGAAGCTTGATGAAAAGGTGTTCACATGTAAGATACAATTCAATGGCAATTGCAGAATTCAGACCCGGTCAAATCGACCATGTTCCAAATAAAGTGGGGGAACATTTTCTGTTTCTTTATTTTCCTGTAGATTTAAAAGCAGCCGTTCAAGGAAATTAACCAGAAACATGTTGCGTTTAAATCATCAGCCAACAGTGTAGTGTAGAAATGTTTGACAAACGTCTTACAAAGTCTCAGTTCAACACAAGTCACTGTTCTAGAGTTAATTTATTTGGCATTTTAAAAGATAAATCTGAACTTCAAATCAAAATATTTGCATAAAACTCCACATCTTAAAAAAAAAGAATAAAAAAAAAAAAATCCAAAAAGTGCAACTTGAGGAACTAGCAAAAACAATACACGCACTAAAATTTAAATCCGCAGCAAAAAGCCGGTTAGATCAAACGTCAAACACAATTTAAATGACACCAAATGTGCAGAGTGCAGCGACAGTCAGTCCTCCAGGAGGCCGCAGAGGCCACGACGCATTAAGATGTGAATCATCACGTTGGGAACAACAGTTCAGTTTACTTTGTGGGGAGATTACACGTTTCCTCGGAGTGGAAAAGAGCCAAAACAACAACAACAACAACAACCAGCTCGGGTCGCGCACGCTCACAGGTGTGTTCCTCCCGTACGGACCCGAGCGGTAAACTACGAGACGGCTGTTAGGACGATTACGCGGAGATCACTTGTAGAAAAAAGGTGAAAAGAGCGCGTCTCCGCTCAGACGTAGTCCCTGGACCTCTTGATGGCACAGCAGAGCATCATGCTGAAGATCATGCCAAAGATCTGAGGAGGAGGAGAGACGCGTTAAAGGGGAATAGACGGCTGTGGAGTCAAAGTTCAGCGTGTGTACAGGGAGTACGTCTACTGGTGACTCCCGTGCAGGTCATCATCTCCCCCTTTCCTCCCCCACTTAGGAAGGAGTTTGTTTCTGTTGAGTGACTCAACAAATCACCGGGGCGGTGGCTGGAATCTCACTGACATTAACGTCACGGGTCATTTAGTCCAAGCTTTTTATCCAAAGCGAATCATGCGCCACAGGCTCTACTCCGGGCGCCACAGGCTCTACTCCGGGCGCCACAGTCGACCCTAACGGAGCGAATAAAGACTAAAAAGAATAAATAAAGACTTGCCATGATGACCCCGATGCCGATGCCGACTCCGCCGATGATGTGCAGCCTGTTGTTGAACATCGCGTCGATGGCGGCTGGACAGCTCTGTCGGAGGAGAGAGCAGGACAAATAGATTTAATTGATTGAGAAAAAAAACGAAAAAGGAGACATTTGGGCGATTTGAGTCGACTGCTTTTTAATTCTTAAAAAAGGCCCGCCGGGATAAATGGACCAGGGGAAGAATTCTTTCGTTCATTCCACCCGAGAAAGGAACCCGTGGTGACGTCACCGTGGGGCCGCGTGTTGCGTTACCGTGGTGATGAGGATCTCCAGCCCCTCCTTCTTGGGGCAGATGTCCTTGGCGGCGTCGATCACCGTCCCCGTCGGGCCGCAGCAGTCGAGCTGGGGGAGGAAACAAGAACGCCGCAACTTTAGTTCCTCCCGGAGACAAAGATCGCACAAGTGATCAATTAATTGATGCGGAATAAAGATCAGGTGCAAAGTACAGAAAACAATGATCTCGTGTTTGTTTAAAGGCTAAAACGTGAACTGATCATTCGTGATGACAGATGGCTTGCCAGATAAATACAGATAAAAAGGTCACCCTGATGAAGGGGATGGTGTCACACGAACAACCCACACGTGCATTTGTGACGGCGGCGCTCCACGTAGGACGCGTTGGAGTTTACTGGGACTTATCAATGTGTGTGTGTGTGTGTGTGTGTGCGCGCTCACTCCAAAGTGGATGAGACGCAGCGTCTCCTTCAGCGCCTCCTGTCGGGTGTCTTTGTAGTTGGTGTAAGTCTGCTTGTAGAACTCTGTGACGTCTTCCACCACCTGAACGCAAAGAAAGAAAACAACAACCTGCAGACTCTGACAGCTGAATGTGTGTGTGTGTGTGTGTGTGTCTTGTGTACCCTGTCCTTGTTGGAGAGACCCCAGATCCCAGCAGCCACCTCCACAGCGAAGATGATGAGCAGGAAGAAGAAGAACTAGACAGGAAAACCAGAGTCAGCACGTTTGTTGATATAAAAACGTTCTCATGAGATCATACTAGTCGTCGTTTGCTGAAGGTCGGCGTCTGCAACGCTACATTGAGAAAAACTGGCACAGGTGAGTGCATTGTGGGTAATGAGTAACTGATAAAACGGGGGACTTGAAAGAAACACTACAAACGTTACGAGTTTTACAGAAACAGCCACTGGAAAATCTCTAGATGACCCATTAATAGAAACGGTCGCTTCCTGCACCTTTAATATTTATATATAATTAAGAATGACTCACCAATCCCAGCATGCACGGCGACTCTTTGATTGCGCCGCAGCATCCCAGGAAGCCCACCACCATCATCAGAGCCCCCGCCGCAATCAGGATGTACACGCCTGCAGAGCAGATGCACAATGAGGTCACGCCTGGGGGGGGGGGGGGGGGGCCTCGGACCACATTCTCCCTCCTCCACGGTCACTGATCCAATCAGCACAGACTGAACTATTAGTCGAGCAGGTCGATAACTTCAGCTGGATGACTGAAACATGGAGGGTTTTCATCACACCACCTTTCTGGAGCCATTTTGCAGAAACCTTCTCCCCAATTTGCATTAATGAGGGAGCCGATTCATTCCTTTCAAATACACAAGACTCTGACCACCTAACAACACACGCACACACACACGTGCACAAACATTCCTCCTCCCAAGCAGTTAAGATGTTTGTCATTTTTGGAACAATCCTCTGCCGCCTCACTGCCCACTTCCCTGTCAGTTTGATGGCAGCAAAACACAACGAGTGACGGGAAGGGAGGGAGTCTCTTGTCCCCGAGTGGAGGGGGGGGGAGAAGGGAGGGAGGGGGGGGGGGTTACAAAAGAGTTCCCTTTCACCCGGGGCGGAGAATGAAAGCCGTGTGATGAGGCCTCCGCCCTCGCTTTGGCCTCAGCTGCCCCGAGCGCCCTGCAGCTCGTCTCCCAGAACTCGGCTTGGTAGCTTGGGCCCGCCCCCCCCCCCCCCAGACACACACACCTGGAAAGGGTCCGCAGGTGAGAGACGGCAGCGAGATGTGTGTGTGGGCGCGTCCTTACCGGTGAAGAAGACCGTGGGCGAGTTCTCCCCGTCAAACAGTCCCGCCGTCCTGGAGTCAAAACGCAGCCAGAGGCCCACGGCCAGCACGCCGGTACCTGCGAGCTACGAGAGCCACGGGGACACACACACAAAAAGGGTCAGAACCCAAAAAGGACACTAAACTCGCCCGTCGCCTTTGGGTCTACGATGGTAGCGGCATCTCAGCCGGCAGGAAACACCGGAAGCGGCAAAAAAAAAAAAGGAAGCCTGACTGGCCGCTCCACATTCTCCACAATCCAACCCCACCCAGCAGAACCTCAACTAACGGAGCTCGTAGAACAACATTGGTTCATCCGTAAACAAGCATGAGCAGATTCCACGTGTGTGTGTGTGTGTGTGTCTCTTCTGTGGCATTTACCTCAGTAAATACACACTGGAATGACTCACTGTGTCCACAGCAACGGCAAAACACAAGTTTACATCAACCAACACGAAGATCTTCCATAAGTCAGTCAGTCTGACGTGTTTGTCTTGTGCAACCGGAGGCGAGAGGAGACGTCTGACTGGAGCCATTGTGCAGACACGTCCTCCTTCAGCCCGATAACCGTGAGTCAGCGGACAGACGCACACACTTTACCCACGTCAGTGGTAAACGCATGGATGACATCACCGAAATTACTCATTTTTAACATTTATCCCATTTAACACGATTACTGCAAGTAGGGAAGACGGGACGGGAAGATAAACCCGGTTTATTTACAGCAGTGAGGAACTTCCCCAAAAAACAGCTGGGTGACATTTTGGAATGAACAAACTGGCGGGATCTGACTTTTAGGCGGCGGTCTCGTGTGTCCACTCGTGGGTACAGTCTGTGGGATCACTGCACACGTTAACCATTAATCGTGGACTCGCAGAACGTGTGAACACCTCCAGGCAGTAAATGCACAGCAGAGGTGGAAAACCTTCCCGTCAGCTCAGCCGAAAACAAAGCAAATAAAAAAACAAAAACGTCCCTCATTTGGGGGACACTTGTTTGCCCTTTCGGCGGATGGCGAACCCGGCCTCACGTCTTGGGCTCGGGACTTTGCAGAGATGTTCGGAGACGGAACAACAACAGAACTGGAACGGGAATATCAAGAAAGCCGCAAAAAGGCGCAGAATGGAAAACCGGCGTTTCACACTTGGATTATCATGAAGATGGAATGTGAGACGGTATAGTAATATTTTAGCTCCGCTGCGATTACAGATCCAGTGTTGATGAGCACAAAATGTATTTTTTTTGTTCTGCCAACTGCCTGATCATAGAGAAAAACATTTCTGAACAACTTCATTTCATCTCAGAGGCACAGAGCGAAGCGAAGCGAACTCCCCATTCTCAGGAACACCTCGTGACTTTCAACGAGATCAAAGTCTTCACCTGCTCTTCTCAGGGGACCAGGTGACCCAGGAGGAATCAGGTGGAGGCATTTAACCAATCGGGCTCTGCAGTTCTCACTGGAGAGAACATCATCAGCCCCCAGAAAAGGATTCAAATTCAGCTGAATTTCCATCAGAAAGAGTTTGTGGGCTAAAAACAGTTTAGGTTTACAATCTAAGTTTTATAAAAAAAACAGAAGCCAAGCGGTTCCTCAAAAACAATACGCAGCTACAAATTTCACAGAACCTGGGGCTTATGTTTTAAACGGTTTTCACTTCCCCCTGAAACCGGTTTCCAAAGCACTAAGCAGAAGAGTGCCAGGTGTATGTACATACCCAGAAGAGAAAGTTGAACACAAACATCAGGTACTTGATACACTGCAGGGCCGCCATGGCTTCAACGTCGAGATTCAGGTGCTTCTAAGACGAAAAACCCACACGCGAGTGTCTCCTGTTCAAGAGCAAACTTGTCCTCTTTGTGGTGGGGCAAACAGAAAAGAACAGGAGGGGAGTGTTTTTGCTTTTATGTGAACCACACCCTTGCACGGTTGACCTGGGTGGACTCAGCAAGGCAGGGGGAGGGAGGGACGGAGTGGGAGGGGTTGGGAAGTGTGGGAGGTATCTTCACTTCCTGCTTATCTCGGGGCAGGGGACCTCGAGGTGTGAAGAACCCGAGCAGGTGAATGCAATCATCAAACGGAGGACGGAGGCCCCACGACGGGCAAACGGACCGGCCCAAAACGGACCTTTAATTACAGGAAACTGTGCAAATACCGTCTGCTGACGCAACACAGACTCTGTGGTGTTTGCTGAGGTAACTGGAGCCGCCCTCCCCTCCCCTCCCAGTAGACCCAGTGAAACCAACAACACCAGCTTTGTCCCCAAGCGGGGCTACAACCTCCCTCCCTCTCTCTCTCCCTCTCTCTCTCTCTCTGAGGGGTAAAAGCTAAAAAGGAAGACATTGATGTGAGGAGAGGTGCAATAAAAGCCATTGAATGAGCAGCTTTCACCACAGATTGGACTCCATCACGCCCCCTGCTGGATTGCATCATTATGTCTCTGACCTGCACGCCCAGAAAACAGTTGCAGTCGCTCGGCCCTCCACACCACAACTAAACCACCATGTGAAAAGCCCTTTCTTTCTCTTTGACAATTACAAAAATTGGCATTGTCTTGACAATTGAAGGGAAAAGCTATTTAAAGCGGGTTTGTGCCGGTGTCGGCACATCTGCTCGTGGCAGGTGAATGCACGCATCAATTAATCACATAATGGAGATAAATTAATGCATAAGCAAACTGTGAGAGGTCACAGAGACAGTGAGGGAAGTGGAATGGTCTGTTTGAATAGCCAACATGTTTGACTACATCACTTTTAAATGACACATTCAGACTCGTACTTTCGGAGCACCAGAGAATATCCAAAATGTCAACAGACGACTGCACAATCCTAACATTCTAAACACGACGGAGTTTAGAATAGCTGACAGACCTGTGAGAAAAACAACAAGGAAACAAGGGGGTGTGGTATGAAATGCACAATCACTGCTTTTAATTTATTTAAATATTGGATGTAAAGTATTTTATTTTCTGTTGCTACATAACTGCAAAGTCTGGGAGCTTTCTCCATCTGTGCCGACTGCACAAAACACAGGTGAGATTATTGCCATAAAAATGAACTTTAAGTATCAAAAATAAAAGTACCTGTTATGGAAAATGGATAAATCAAAAAGATCATTAATGCATTCATGTGGACATGAATTGCTGCAGCTTCTAAAGGTGGAGAACATTATTTCTATACTTGAATATCCTTATGATTACACTTTGAAATGCATCATACTGGGTATGAATAAAGTAAATCTGCTAAGTGCATAAAGCTATCGATAAGAAGTGAATCTTGCTCTCATTTGAATTCGTGTTTCTCACCCAGAAGACGAAGTTGAAGACGAAGAGCGCGTACTTGAGGCACATCTCCCAGCTGCTGAGAGCAGTCATCGCGGCTCCGGGTCTGGAAGAAGTTAGCTCGAAATAAAACTGTCAAATATCTGCAAGTCTCTCCCCGCTCGTGCTCCTATTTAAGGGGTGGGTTCGGCTCCGAGGCGTTCGGCTCGCTTCGGCCACCTTCGATAGTTTCCGCCACTCGGGCGGAGCGCGCGGGCACCGAATCGGGAGGAACCAAGTGACGAGTTATGGGAGAAAAAAACACACGTAAGGTTATAAAACACAGAATAGAAGCAGCGACTGGAACAAAATAAGTAAACTAGAGGTGGTTTACAAATATATATAAACGCCTGTATTAAAAGGTCGAATTCAGACTCAACAATAAAAAATACATAAACCAAAAGTAGAAGTAGCACAATGGCCCTTTATGGAATAATTTGCATCATATCGTTGTACTCAAATCAATGACGCATTTCACACTTGCAATGTTATTATTATCGTTTTATTGTTATGTACCTAATGCGTACTAACCCATGACAGTCATTGTCTACATTAAGATAGATGTGACTGAAGGATGCATTTTTTATATTTAGATTTATTGCAGTTTATGAGATGAAATCTCCTATTGGGTGATGAATGACTTACTCAACAAACCAGGAAAACGTGCACAAAGATAAGCAATAATAAAAAGATAACGGAGGAAATGACTAATGATTTTAAACCTTATCAAAGTGACATGGAGGTCAACATGCTAAAACCAGCGTGTGTGTGTGTGTGTGTGTGTGTGTGTTTGTGTGTGTGTGTGTGTGACTACATTCTCTCCTTCTCTTTCGGTGGAAATGTGACGGTTCTTCTGCAGAACAAAGACAACAGTGTGACCGGCCAGCCCACGACTTTTGTTTGCAGCTGCACACACACACACACACACACACACACACACACACACACACACATATAGATACAGATGATGAAGAGGATGAGGAGGAGGATGAAGGAGCACAGAGCGACTCAGCTGACCAGAAGCGAGGGAGGAAAGTGACCCATGTCATGCGACTTCTCCAACAAAACCTCCAAAAATCTGCCTTTTGGCAGCACGAGACAGACACTATACATCCGTATATAAATGTATATGTACATCCGGGCTCATGAGATGTGTCATCTTAATGCTCGTGTGAGGAAAACACAGATCTGTTCAAACACAGAGCTTCCTATTAAGAACGTTTACTGCCTCATCCAACAGAGTCATGGTGTTAAAGACAAATCTGTTCCTCTGTGGAACAACAGGCCTTGATCTCCTGCCCGGTGTGTGTGTGTGTGTGTGTGTGTGTGTGTGTGTGTGTGTGTGTGTGCGTGTGTGTGTGTTTTGGTTAGTAAAACAACTCTGCGTTCATCTCTGAGTCCATTTACAAAGCTCCCCTTCAAAGCTGCAGCGACTCTCCCTCTCTCATCCTCCCATATCTCTCTCTCCCCCCCTCTCTCCCCCTTTCTCTCTCTCCCTCTCTCATCCTCCCATATCTCTCTCCCCCCCCTCTCTCCCACTTTCTCTCTCTCCCTCTCTCATCCTCCCATATCTCTCTCCCCCCCCTCTCTCCCCCTTTCTCTCTCTCCCTCTCTCATCCTCCCATATCTCTCTCTCCCCCCCTCTCTCATCCTCCATATCTCTCTCTCCCTCTCTCATCCTCCCATATCTCTCTCTCCCCCCCTCTCTCCCACTTTCTCTCTCTCCCTCTCTCATCCTCCCATATCTCTCTCCCCCTTTCTCTCTCTCCCTCTCTCATCCTCCCATATCTCTCTCCCCCTCTCCCACTTTCTCTCTCTCCCTCTCTCATCCTCCCATATCTCTCTCCCCCCCTCCCCACCTTTCTCTCTCTCCCTCTCTTATCCTCCCATATCTCGCTCTCTCTCTCCCTCTCTCTCCCTCTCTCTCTACATATGCAACTATAACTATAGTATAAATAGATGTTGCTTGTATGTACACGCACTTGTTTTTGTGTGTTATGCTCGTTTGTTTTGTGCACGTGTGATGTTACACGGTGTGACTCCTTGTTGCCTCATTGCAGCGCGTGCGTATCACTCGTTCTTTCTTCGTCCAGAGCCTCTTCGAGACTGCAGCCAATCAGCAGCGCTCCCCCCTCGCTGCGCGGACCAATCAGAGCGCCGGTTCCGCCGCCGGCGCGTCACGGCGGCGGTTCACCTGCTCGGGTCACACGTTCACGGGACGGGAGCAGCGTCGCCCGGTGGTTTCTCCCTCTCTCGCGTTTTGCGTTGTAAGTTGAAAGCTAACGGATGGGAAGCGGCACGGGACCCCCCGCCGGGCGCCCCCCCGGAGGTTAACGGGCACGAAGTTCGACCCCCCCCGCGGTAACCGGCGATGGCGCGGACGGGCTCCGGTGCGCTGCTCTCCCGCCGCAACGTCGAGCTGGACTCGTTCCTGAAGCGGAACACGGAGCGCGCGGTGTACGAGCGGATCCGAGCCCACGAGCCGTGCGTGGTGATCACGGAGACCATCCACGAGGTGTTCTCGCCCGTTGTGGTGAGCGACGAGCGCGTGTACCTGGCCGAGTACTCGCCGCGCACGCTCACCGAGGCCTTCGGCTTCAGGCGCGTGCGTGACATCGAGCTGGTGAGTTCACGGAAATTTTTGTTTCAAATGATTCGCTCAAACGATGCGATCACAGCCCGACGATGATCAATTAATCAATTAAGGGATCGACGGAAAAACAGCTCCAGGACGTCACTTAATTCTCCATTAATCTGGATTGAAAAACTAATATAGTAAACTATTAAATGTATGTTCAAATAACAGTGAGATATTTTAAAGTTACTTTTTAACGGAAGAAAGAAACCTCTCGATGATCTCTAGTTCTTCCTCATTGTCATCAACGCAGTTGTCATGGAAACCCACCGTTCAGATGAACTGCTTCGTGCTCTAAAATGGGAATACTCAATTATCTAAAAAGTTTTTATTTTTCTGTGTCAAACTATCTCGATTAAGCACTTAAGCACCTTTTATTGGCCTCCTTTCACTTATTATTATTGGTATTATTCTGTATTCATTATTTATACAAACGCTTATTAGACCGTACCCCGGCTTAAAGTTAAAAAATACATAAATTGCTGGATTTCTTAACACTCCAAACTTGACTAATGACTAAATCATAACTTTATAAAGCTGATAAAATATAGTAGTACTTTTCAACCCATTTCTTCTTCACTTCTATGTATCTGCATTGCTTTTAAAGTGATTATATGATCTGTTTTTACCTGGTAATCTGACCTTGCATTTAGAAAGCCTAAATCAAAGTGCCTGTGAAACTCCTACGATTTGTCAGGATTACACTAAACTGCTTCTGTTTCTAAATCAATGACGGGATAAAGAACAAAGAATCAGTTTTCGTCTCCTTGCTGTTCGATAAAGATTCTGACTAATCAGGAAGCGATCAGATTACACCGATTGACCCCGTCTAGACCCCCGGGGGGCAGGACACGCCTCTTATACCCCCTTGTTATGTCACGTAGGTCAGAGGTCAAAGCTTTACATTCCTTCCCACAGAGTTAATCCCATCAGATTATTATTTGTAGACTCACTGAGACGTCAGGCTGAAACTCTCCTCTATTTAAATGAATACAGTATGTGGACATCAATTAATAACAGAGACGATTATTTCACTTTTACTTACACTTCAATTACCTGCTTTGATTCATTGAAGCTGATGTGAAGTAATGAGGTAGTATCTTAAACGCCATAAAAGACGCTGCTGTGCGTCCGAGTAAATATTAGAACACGGATCTTTATCCCTGTTTCATCTCTTCAGGTCAACGACCTCCCAGATTTCCTCCGTGGGAGGAGCCGAGACCTCTGCCAGCACATTCGAGTCACCTACCTCACGGACAAGCCTGCTGTGAGAGGCCGTGATTGGCTGAGGAGAGACAGGGGGGTGGGGCTTCCCGCCGCGCTCCCGCCCTCTCGCAGGACCAGCCACTGCCCGACGATCACGTACACCTTACAAGGTAAAGAGCTGGGCTTAAATGTAACAAATGCATTATTTTTCAAGTTAGATCCCCGTTGTTTGTAATGGCGGCTGTGGCCGAGGAGGAAGAGCAGGTGATAGATCATCAAGCAGGGAATGCTATAGTGAGGGGGGGGGGCTACGTTGTGATTGACAGGTCTCTGCCAGATGCTTTTAAGGCACTTCTGAGTCACTGCTCAGTCCGAACAAGGTCTCTTCCGTTCATCGGTGCCAAAAAAGCCAAGATGGCGACGGCCGGAACGGCGAACCCGACGCTTCAAAGGCGCAGTCGGCTGACCAATGGGGGGGGGCGACGAATACGTGCACTTCTTATCCAATAATCTGCGACTTTTAACTAAACACGAGAGATCAAGGGAAACTGTGTCACATGGGGAACTTTTATTTGAGAAAAACACTCCTGTAATTTGATGCAGGTTTGGAGAAAAGTTATTCAATGGTCCTTTTTTAATTTTTAAAACCTGTAACAAACGGCAGCAGTGAGGCTCATGTGTCCTTCGTCTCTTGGCTCATTTCCTTCGAGGCCTTTTTGTGTAACTTTAACTCTCCCCATGTCTTTGTTCCCTTGATAGGACATCCTGCACAGAGGTGAGCATCACACACACACACACACACACACAATAGAACCTGAGACCGGCTGCGGTTGCTTTTACTTTTTAACTCTTGAGTGCCAAACACTGTTTTTAACCACTCGAGCAAAAAGAAGCCCGGTTCCTGCTTCAGTGATTCCAGCTGTCACTTTATGATCAGTTTTTAACGCGTCCGGTCGTCAGGGAGACGGACAAACCCTTTGAGCCACGAAGCCTTTACGGTGGTGTTTCCACGTGGTTCCACGCGCTGCACAAAGGGATCGACTGAGCAATGAGTGAAAGCGACCTCGCGCTGACGGCGCCGTGATGATCCTCCTCCGGGTCTCAGGTGGCTCCTGACTTATTGAATAAGTTTCACCTCGCTCGGCGCGTCGTTCTTCGGTTCCTCTGACTCGTCACAGAGACCCAAATGTATTTATATTCCCCAGAAATTATCATGAAAGTTCAATATATTGTTTATTATTATTATCTTAAAATAGATTGTTTCATCCAGCCAAAGGTATAAACTGTACTGACTTCTGCATTTTATCCAAAACATGAAAGTAATTGTGGTGGATAAGATTTACATAATTTTAAATAAAAAGTGAAGAATTACACTTTAAACATGAAAACATGCACATCTGAATTAATGCGAACAAGTTGTGCCGTTTCTCATCTTTTAATCTAATTATGATGTGAAATTTAAGGTATTTGTGTCTTTATGCAACTTTTCAGTAAAATTGTTCTCGGCCCTTCGCGTCCTGTTTTCTATTTGGGGGGCGGGAGGCGGGGTCCTGAATCCCTCAACTATGTCACTCAGCGAATGAGGACAGGCAGCGCGAACAGATCTGTTGCCTGGTTACAACAAAGCGGACGCGCGTCTCTCGGCTTCACCCATGGGAGGGGCGGGGGGTCATTAAACTCATTCAACAAGAGGAAAAACACGTCCTGGTGTCTGTTCCCTGTCCCTCAGGCCCCCCGGGGAGCTTCCCCCATTACCTCCCTCGCGTTCCGCCTCCTGCCCGGACCCGGAGAGCCTGGGCCTCGCCGGGGTCCCGCACCCCCCCGACCGGCCCCCCTCCACGGCGCCCTCCCCCACCGGCTCGCCCACCTCGCCTCTGTCGCCGGACAGCCGCGGGCTTCACTTCCCCGACACTGGGCAGGTACACACCATGTCACCCCCTCCACCCGCCCCCCCTCTGGGTTTTTGGTTCCTCCTCATTGACCCGATGACCCGATGTCCAGGTCCCGAGGAGGATCGGCTCGGTCCTGTCTCGCCTGCTGAGGAGGGACTCGGCGAGCGGCGGACAGGAGAGGGAGGCCGAGCTGCATTTCTACGCCGTGTCGAACGCGTCCAGACTTTACCTCCACCTGCAGAGCTCCTGGAACAGCTTCATCATGGTGAGCGGGTCACCGGCCAGCCGGCGATACGCCGCGATGGAGGGACGCGTACCGACGGGGTCCATACGCGTCCTCCATCGATGCGGCTGATCGCTCCGGTTCCTTCTAGAGATCTAGACACACAATCTGATTCAGAAGGGAATGGACATTCCTTTATGTGTGTGTGTGTGTGTGCAGAGGTCCACGCTGTCCTTGGACCCCCTCCACAAAAGGGCCTCGTCTGACTCCTGTCCCAAAACGCGACTCCCTGCCGCCAGGTAACCAAGCTCTCCTGTATCACAAAGCTGTGAGAGAAGCAGAATCATGCGTGTCTGTGACCGGCTGTGCGTGTGCGTGTGTGTGTGTGCGCGTGCAGCTGGGAGCGGACGGCTCACCTGTTCGGTCAGCTGAGCTGTGAGCTCCTGCAGGAGGGGATCAGCGTGGAGAGCCTCTACCTGCTGCTGCAGGAGCTGAGAACCGCCGCTCAGCGCGACGTCGCCCTGCGCCGCCTCTTCTGGAACGTGAGACACGTCGGGCCTCCGTCGTTAGTGGTCGTGTTGTGTCGTGACGCCGCTGTTAAACGCTTGTGTGGTTGTGAGGACTCCCTGTTGTGCTTCAGTCCAGCGAGCTGTTGGACTTCCTGGTTCTCACTCTGGAGGAAGCTCTGCACGGCCGCCAGAGCCCCAGCGGAGTCTCCACAGCAGATCAGCTACTGTAAGCTCCAGAGAGAGAGTGTGTGTGTGTGTCTGCGTGTGTGATCTTAGATTCTTAATCCAAACGGGGAAATAACCCATTGAGCTGATAAGCTGCTTTGTTTTTATACAACACACTTACGGCTGCTGGAGAAGGTGTGTGTGTGTGTGCGTGTGTGTGTGTGTGTGTTGGACATTGATTCTCTCACGAGAGATGAAGCTTCTGGGAATAAACCCTTTGTTTCGTGCTCAATTACGCCTTAATATGCAGTAATGCAGCTTGATTGGCTTGATGCTCCCGTGCAGACTGAGCGCCCTGATCGCCCAGACGCTCGCCGTCATGTTCAGAGAGACGGAGGTCGAACCCGCCAGGCTCAACCTGCTCTCCGCCAAAAAGTAAAGACCCAGACACTTCGTCCTTTATAGAGCTGCTGGATGCAGCCGCTGCTCCTCATCACCCCTCTCCTCCTCCTCCCCCCCCAGAGGAGCCCTGGCCTCCAGGATGCTGCGGGCCTTGATGTGTGACGCAGAGGACCAAAGGTCACCGACGGACTGCGAGGTGAGTCTCCTCGCCGCTCGCGTCCACCGCGCCCGTTGATTTCACCGGTTTTTAACGCCCCCCCGCCGTGCTTCTGTGTCAGCGGCAGGCCTTGCTCGCCGAGTACCTGGACGCCGCCTGCTCGCTGCTCTTTGAGCTGCTGCTTTTAGGCCACGACGTGAGTTTATATAAAAAACATACCTGGTCTGTGATGATCAGGTGATCTGGCCTCTGCTGGTTGTGACTTTACGCTTTGTTCAAACTTTAGGCCAGCAGATGTTCCTCCGCTGACCACTTCCTGTCCATTGGCTGGATCCTCGGCGTCCTGCAGCCGCATCCCCAAATGGTACTCATACAGCAACACCAACACATCGAACTTCTTCCACACGCACGTCTCTAAACGATATCGAAGGACGGTTCCCCCTGAGACACGTTTTAAAAGCCTCTCCTCCACCGCTCTGCAGTTGTCCTTCATGGGGTACCAGGTCCAGCAGGTGGTCCAGGTTCTGTCGGACCCGCAGGAATCCTTCCTGAGTCCACTTCAGTCCGTTCTGCTGTTCCAGCGCTGCCGCCTGCTGCTGGCCTGCCTGCAGTACAACGAGCAGCTGGCCCAGCACCTGCGCTCCCACTTCAGAGAGGAGTTCAGGTGCGTCGGCACATCGTTTGTTGAGGGTTTCGCTACGAGACCAGCGTGGAAGTCCGCACATTTCAATCGGATGTGTGGCCCCTCCTCAGCGGTCCACTTGAATAAACCTCCCGGGGTTTACGGACATATGCAAACTGGTCAAGGTGTAGCTCCAAGCTATACTATACTTAGATGTATCAAAAGTTAAAGTGTTTATTATGTAGAATGCTACATTATAGAATATAGCGCTGCATATTATTTTTGTATCAAAGATCTAGTCGGGTGGAGGCATTAATTAGGACTCTAATGGAAGCGCTCTAATGGGCTCCCCCCCCCTGCAGGTACTCGGTGAAGCTGTCGTGCGCCGAGGAGAAGCTGCCGCCTCACTACCCGATCAGCCAACCGACCCTCCACCTGCTCGGCCAGATCCTGACTCTCCACCGGCACGGGTGATGGTGGGTTTGTGCTCTGCAGTGGATGAACTGAGCGGGACGAGTGAAACAAGGAACTCAGCAGAATTAATCACGAAAGCACTTCTTTCTATAACTGTTTTTTCTTTTTCTTATCAGTATTCCTTTACTGCCGTGAAGCAGAACTCCTCTGTAGCATGTTAGCATGCAATCAGCTGCTAATTGACACTAAAACATCTGTTGTGTGAACATCCTTCCCCGAATGTTCGGATTCGCCCTCTGTGTGTTTGAAAAAACGTGTAAATGTCCTTTACACGCTCTGAATAAAAGGTTTTGAAGTGGAAGTCGTCTCAAACACTACAAATTAAACACCCAAGATAGTTTAATCATCTTTAATAATATCGTTTTTCTGACATTTTCTCTTGAAAGTCTTCTGTGGGTGAAGCATTTAAAGTGAAACATTCATTTCAATGAATAATGGTTTTATGGACACTAAATAATGTGAACAGGCACGAGCTGACCAAAACGACCTTTTAACTGCATCATCGTTTAATGGACGCCGTCTTGTCACGCGGCGCCACCTTTTCCTGCAGAGGTTGCCGCGGCGACGCGCGCGCTCCTCGGGCCTTCACATCTTGGCTCTGGGAGGGTTGTTGGCGTACAGATGCTGCTGTAGAAAAGCCAAGATCTTTTTCCAGGAGTCCTCCTGAGCATCTGAATGAGGTTTGGTTCGTCCTCCCCAAAGTAGAGTCACTGGAACGCGCCACATGTAGCGATGGTCAGATGCATCGTGGCGACACAGAAACAGAACATCAGAAGATATTTGATCGGCTTCAAAAACGCACCCTTCTCTCGGTTTTGCTTTATGAACTTGGTGGCTCTGAAGTGAGGCGAGTAGGGCGGCTCGATCAGATGTCCAGCAGCTGGGTATTCGATCCTGGTCAGCAGGTGGTCGTTCCCCGCTGCTCGCATCATGCGGGCCATCTAGGGGGTTTAAAGGTCAAAACAGCAGACTTCATTGTTTTTCTGTTGTCTGACAGACTGTCTTCACCAAATGATCTCCAGATTATTTTAGGAAAATAAACCTAAAAGAACACAAAAATATCCTTTTTCATTGCAGTTGTGGAATTTTATTTAGGCCTCAGTCGTTTAGTCCATTGTTGCACTGGTTGTAACAAATACATTATTAATTTAACATTTAGTTATTCCCACGATTCAAATGCAACAAGTTGACTTTGGCAAATTCATCGGTGCTCTTCTTCACTTTGCAGTTTTGACGAGCACAAACAGCTCTTAACGCCACCTCATTGCCGTGCGTGTGTGTGTGTGTGTGTGCACACTCACATCCTCAGCAGCCTCCACTGTGGGCAAGTTCTGATCATCGAGGCCGTTCACCAACAACATCGGGCAGTTTATTCTCCCCACCTTCAAGAGGACCAACCGCCACACGTGTAATATAGTGTAAGTGTAACATAGATGTATTTAAGTTGTTTTATAACCATTGTTTTCGTTCGGCCGACTAGTTTAGTGCTGTAATGGAGATGTGTCGTGTCAAAGTCGACCAGCAGGTGTCGCCATCTCACCACTAAGGGGGAAGGGAGGCTCAGTGAAAGTCAGAAGATGGACGGCTGACTGAGACTAACGTTGTATCAACTCAAACCATTGAAACAAAGCGGAACAACATGAGACATGTTTTAACATTTCACTGCAACGCACTGACTGACAGCAGAAGAGGACGTCGCCACGGTGATCGAAACCGGCACATCGTCTCATTGTGTTTCGACAGTGCAACAAGTACTTACGTCAACTTTCCCAGAGAGGTCACCAGGGATCGGAAGTTCCCTGTACCGCCAGATCTCGTGGTTGTTCTCATCCAGTCGTACCTTGTGAGCTTTCCTGTCGTAAAAACAATGATTCACCGCGGCATCAGTACAACTGTGTGTGTGTGTGTGCGTGCACTGGCTTTGTGCTGCTTGTGTTACCTACAGGGTGATCGCCTGGTAGACTTCCGTGAAAGCCGCCCCGCGTGGATAAAGGTGGACGCCGCTGACACAAACGCAACAACGAGGCTGGAACAAAACACGCGGTTCACTGTCAAGACCTCGCGGTTCTCCACTCGATCGGGACTGAAAGTTCTCCCAGACGTTTTGCGTGTTGCACTTGCCTTGATGGCGGTGCTCTCGGCCGCCAAATAATTGGTCATGATGGAGCCGAGGCAAAGACCGAAAAATCCAACTCTGTCTGGGCTCACTAGGGGATGGAGCCTGACTATATTAAACGCCGTCTGCGGGGATTTAAGACATTGAGACGGACCGCCCTCCAAACAAAATGAGCCATACAAGCGTTTTATTTTGAAATATGAATAAACACAAACCTCAAAATACTTGAACTCCATGTCGGCCGACTCCAGCTCACCGGGGTTGACATATTCCAGCGCCAGAGAGGCGTAACCGTGAGACGCCAGGAGGGCCGACCGATACTCCAACAGCCCCCCACCTCCGCCCCACATGTCCAACACGCCGGGGAAGGGTCCTGGACCTGAGGCACGGAATGAGAGGTTTTACTGATCCTCAGACATCTACCTAAAACACACAGACGGTATAAGAGGAGGACGCGCTCCTGAGGAGGGACCTGGAGGTATAAACAGCGTCCCTCGCGCTCCCTTCTCTTTGACTTCCACCCTCCGGACTCCTGGACCCATGAACCACCTCTCCGACAGCACCGAGGCCAGAGGAGGCCGCGCCGCGAAGCCCTGCTCCGCGTGCCCGCCGTAGACCGAGATGTGGACCAGCTGGGGGGTGCAGACGTCCCGCTTCCTCAACCTCGGCGGGGTGAACAGAGATTCAAAGTATCAAGGCCGAGACCTTAATGCGACCTTCACGTCACTGGACGTTTTACCTGAGGCCTTCGCGGCTGCCCGGGACGGGACGCATACTCCACAGCAACCCCATGGCTTCTTTCCCCGTGTAGGTTCCCCCAAAGCAGAAATCATCTGAAACTGCAGACGTTTTTTAAATGTCAACAAAACAAACAAACACACACAGTTGAGGTGTGTGTCTGAAGGTGAGCTCACCAGAGACGCTTCCTCCCTGGTCGCTGACGTAGTGTCCGAAGGCCTCCCACATGTCCTCGTCCTCGGAGCGGTGGAGGGAGTGAAGTGTCACCGCGGAGCCCGGAGGCAGGTTCTGCACCGTCACCCTGAAGGTCTCGTCCACCAGAGCCCGCGAGGGGACGACAGAGAGGACCGGAGGGACGGCCGGGGACATGGTGGACGATGGTCTGAGGAGACGAGCAAAAAGCAACACGGGTGAGGAGGGTCCTCGGTTCCCACCGGCAGCGCGGACAAGTGAACGAAGCGGATGGAGGAGCGTAACCATGGTAACTACCGGTTCCATACTGGGCTTCTTTAATGGGTCCCATTAAGAATCCTTCCCTTGCAAAGAAAGTTCTTCAAGCATTGTTGAAAACATGGATGTGAGCACAGGGAGTGAACTGTTCTATCAGCACCTTCTTATTATCAGACATCTCGTCTCATATTAAAAAGGGACGTTGTCCTTTGAACGCTTCATAAAGTCAGATTTGCTATTTAAAAAAAGAGGGAAGGAATAAGTGAGCTAATAATGAATAAAACAATAAATTAAAAAAAGGGGTTTAGTTTGGTAGCAAACTGATGATCTCCTTTGAAGGTTGCAATGCAACACTTTTACTGCGATTCACCAGTCGTCCTGGTCATAAACTGGCTCAAGGGACAAAAGAGGGAACGAGGCAGCGTAACTGATCAAAAGTCATTTATTTAGCTAAGGAATAAACTAAAACATAGCTTTTGGAACTTATAACTTAAATAAACCAAGCCGGGTAATCGAGCCATGGTTGACATGTGGATGGCAGTGAAGGTCATCAACTCAGGACAAAGACGGTTACTACCCGAGAGAGGGACCACTGAACCACACAGAGGCCGTCACATCCTTCAGAGGTTTGATGGTAGCAACCAGAGTCCAGTTTTGAGGGAGAGGAATCTCACTGGAACAAACACTGGAGGTCCAGCAGTCAATGTAAAGTTTACACGTGTCATTGAGACACTTCTTTAATTATATTCCAAGGAGCACAACGGTGTCGTGTCTTAATTATTGTGAAGAACCGAACGTGCTGGTTGCTGCGATGTCTGCTGGTCTGTATAAATCCTGAGCTACATGGTGTCGGTCACAGTTCACGCTCCTCAAACTTGCGCTACGGTTAAAGAACATCGTCAACGTATTTGCTCCGGTTGCTCAGGTTTGCTGAGCGTTCCTCCAACCCCCCCCCCAATAAAGCCACTTAACAATTTCTGGCTGAACGCTGCTCCTGGGTCCAGCACTATAACACCACAACAAAGGGACGCATTTAAGAATAAGTTACACAACAGAAAGCTTTTGTAAAATATAACTCCTAAAATAAAGTCATTAATTTGACAATTACATTGAGGTGTACAGCTTTACATTTATTGTGAAGTGATTCAAGTGATTCAACACAAGAAAATACAACATTATATACTTCTGATGTTTTAAAAAAGAACTTCGTCAGTGGTTATTAGAAGCAGCACTATTCCTTTCTGGTGACACAATTGAAGAAAAGGGAATTAATGTTTTAGGATTCAGCTCGCATTGAGCTCTACTGTGGTTCATTTTATGAGCCTTCGTTTGGATATTTATTGGGTATGTTTGCTGAGAAGATTCACATAAATCTCCCTTTTGAATAATCACCACAGGCTGTGGACTTATAATGACGTGATGAGACATATAAAGACGTCCTTTACAGGTTAAAGTCCCTCTTTCTGTTTAAAGAGCGGGTCATAATGACCTCTCTACCCCGCATAGTTCTCTCTGCCGTGCCGATGAGCACCGCCCGCAGACGTTTAAGGGAAAACACGTGTGTGATTGGCGGAGCGGCATCACGTGACATGATCACAACGCATGTAATTGGTCGGTGTGTTTTCTGCAGCGTTGTAATTGCTGAAAAAGCTGCGCAGGTTTAAATGTAACCGTAAAAACGTACGCATCTCAATTAGCGATTTTATAAAGTGTAATTAGGGGATAAGATAATAGTTGCATGCAGTCAAAATATATATTGTCAGGGTTTATAGTTATTAAGTAGCAGCTTATTAAAGTCAAAATCGGAAGTTTTAGAAACCAACAAATGTTTCCTGCACTACAAAAGTATAAAAACACACTCAGAACACCAAAAGTTGAACGTGCTCACAATGTGATTCCGTTTAGTTTGACTCACGCGGTTTGAGGCACGTTGCCAGCAGGTCCACGCCGGCTCGGGGAGGTCTGGAACTGCCTGCAAGCTCTCCGGCGGACTTTAAACCCCTTCTGCTCGCTTTCCTTGGGTTGGAAATCCTTTAAAGGGGGGAGGTCTCAATCCGAAATGTAACACTCGTATCACACTGTGTCCTTGGTCAGAGGTATGTGGGCAAGGTCTCAAAAAAAATACTTTTTTGTCGTGGCTATTGTATTATTAATGTATCCCACTTGCTCATGTTGCAATTATCTGCAGTTGTATCCAATGAATCTATTACAGTGTCGATTGAAGCCTTTGTGGATTTAAGAAACAATGTAATTAGGGGATACGATAATAGTTGCATGTAGTCAAAATCTCTATTGTCAGGGTCTATAGTTATTATGTAGCAGCTTATTAAAGTCATAACATCAAGTGCAGGATATAATCTTAGGAACGTTATGTCATTTATGTTGGCTGTGATTATCAGACACCTGGGTGAACTTGTGAAGAATTACAAACAAGGCGTAAATCTCCTGCTCTTAACTGCATCTTTAAAAATACTACTTAATAAATACAAGTTTATTTAGCACCTATTTGCATGTTTAGGCATTTTACTCCATCTTAACATACTATCTTGTTTTTAGTATTACACACATTATAATTTAAAATATTGGTAACAGCGATGCTACTGTTACCAATATTTTAAATTATAATGTGTGTTAATATTAAACATTATTATCTGTCCAATGTTCAAAATCGATCAAATAGGTTAATTCGTTGTTAAGTCATTTACTGTGCGGAACTTCTGTCTTCTGGTAGCTGGTCGGACCCGTTTGACGGACGGACCGGAAGCAGCGTGAGGTTACCGAAGGCTTTTCAGAAGTCCGCCGCCTGGTGAGTTCTCAGCCCGCTTGTCATGTCCTTCTTTCGGGAAACTTTGACACCGTTTTCTACCAAGCACGCGTCCGCGCGACCTCCAGGTGTCCGTGACCTTTGACCCCCCCCCCCCCAAGCGGTGGATTTCAAACGTTGTTAAATGTTCGATTTCGCTTCTTTATTTCCACATCCGCGTGGCGGGAGATTTACAGAAGCCCCTTCGAGTCCACGCTGTCCGTCCCGCAGTCACACACGTCGATATGTGAGGACTGCATCGATCTGCGGCCAATTAAAGTGGAGAGCGTTTGGTTATCGATGTAGTCAATTCACATAGTTCGATAACGACGGTCGTGCTCGTATCCGTTGTAAAACCTCATTCAGTGCGCGTGATGCTTCGTCTCTCTTTAAGGTGCTGTTTGTTGATGTTGTTTTTCCGATCAGTCTCTTTAAAGTGTCCCCAGCAGTGTGCAGTGCGGACAAGATGTTGAGAAGAGCCTCTTCACAGGTGAGCAGAGGGGCGTGGTTACTCTGCAAGTAGTCTCTTAATTAAATACAAAGTTGTTTGGTTTATAAAATGTGCAAAATCAAGTCTTCATGTCTTTTGACGTTTTATTTAAATTGTGCTCTATTAACTGCATTGTTCATCCAAAGAAAACACCTCAATTGAGGAGAAATGAAGGGGTGAAAATGTGCAATTAGGGAGATGAGCTCCGCATTCGCTGGTCTTTAGACCGTAAATATTTAACGCCGTCCCTCCACAGATCCTCAGGCAGGTGGTGAGATGCGGCAGCACGGACGCCAGCCTCATCCTGGAGAGATGTGAGTTCTGGGGGGGGGGAGAGGAGGGTCCGTATGTTGCTGGTCTCTCAACAAGTACGCCTGACTGATACGAAACGTCTGCATTCCAGCGATAAACCGCGTGCAGCTGCTGGGCCGAGTGGGTCAGGACCCGGTGATGAGACAGGTGGAGGGTCGTAACCCGGTCACCATCTTCTCGTTGGCGACCAATGAAATGTGGCGCTCTGGAGACGGAGAGACGAGCCCCACAGGTAGGGTGTGATGTGATGCTGATGATGGAAGAACATGCGATTACAGTATTTGATGTGGCGCTTTTTGTAGTAGGAGTCGTCGTCCACTAGAGGTCACTGTCACGCCGCGTCTTCTGACAGTGAGAATAGTTTGTTTTAAAGTATGTGTAAGGATAACAAATGAGGAATGAGGAATGCTGTTCCAGTTACCGACTCATATTTATATTACGTTGATATTATGTTCTGGTATTTTTTCTATTCTATTCCTGTTTATTTTTAGTATCAGTTTAAGTAGATTATAAACATATTAGGAATTTGCATCCGTATTTCTTGCATAACAATAAACGCAGTAAGATAAAACAAATAATCAAAGCACTGCAAATAAAGAATATTGGATGCATATTTACAATTAAATAAACAAATGGAAATGGGCATCCCTGCAAGTTAGGAGGTTTAAAATGAATTAAGTTAATTCACAATAAGACTAATAAATCAGGTGCTGCATGTTTATAGCATTGCATATATGCGTGTATATATTATTAACAGTAACATGCAAAGTTGTGTGTAAAGAGGACAATCCATGTGTTGTTGTGACTCCAGGGGACATCAGTCAGAAGACGACGTGGCACCGCGTGTCTGTGTTCAAGCCGGGTTTGAGAGACGTGGCCTACCAGTACGTCAAGAAAGGGTACGATCTGGAGTACATTTGGTCATTTAGTACGTGTTTTGATGGTACAGCTGAGAGGAAGCATACACGCTCTGTGCGTTGTTTTATTTAGTCTCATTTATAAACTCGTTTTCAGCCCAAAGTACGAAGTTTGAGGTCCTTTTTGTTTTGACTGATTCAAAGTGTCTGTTTCAGCTCCCGGATCCTCGTGGAGGGGAAACTGGACTACGGCGAGTACGTGGACAAGAACCAAGTCAGACGCCAGGCCACCACCATCATCGCAGGTGACTGTGCTCAGTGTCCTCGGGTCACCGACCCGTCCGCTGATGTGAAAGGACGGGCTCGTGTTACTTAAACCATTTTGTTTTGTTCTCTCCAGACAACATCGTCTTCCTGAGTGACAACATCCGGGACAGAACATGAAGCGCTCTCCTCTCCTCTCCTCCGCTCAGCGGGACACCTGCTTTTTCTAGTCTCCAGTTTCATACAGGAAGAAGACTGCGGGGACACCCGCCAATGTACCCCACCCCTAACTAAAAAGAGCTGTACCCAAAGAGAAGGGGGGCCGAACATGATGAAACACCGGTTATGTTTGGCGCCTCCTGCAGCACTTGAGGCCTCAAGAGAAGCAGAAAGCTTTTGTAGTATAAATACACATTCTGATTTATAGTTTTCATTGTGACACTTGTACATAACCCTTAAAGATGCAGGTTAGTAGAGACAAACGTTTCGCTTTGTTTAAAGTTGAACTCTCTTTTGCTGTTTTTTTTGTTCTCCTGTTGACGTCTCTGAATTGTGCACACGTGTAACAGCACGTTGATGTCGACCTTTATCTCCCCGTTTTCTGCTTCGTCAGTTGTCTTTTTATCTGTTCATCATTTCCTTCCTTCAGCTCGGTGCTGGTGGTTCATTTCTCTGTAGTTGTCTGACTTTCTCTTTTTTTTTTTAAATAGACTTTTGTGTTCCACCTTTTTTGTTCATCTTTAGTCACCGCATGTTTGACTCAACTTGTAAGCTTATAAAGCACTCTGTAGAGGAGAAAACGTAGGAGTTACAAGTAACCTTTAAAAACTTTGTTAAAGTAGTACCAAGAACGTTATAGAGAAATATTTGCATTAAAACATAAAGGTGTGCTCGATGAAAGTATGTGATGTTTTAAAATGATAAGTTTTTTTCTATGGACGTTGATTGGCTGTTTCTCTGCCAGCGGGGGCGGGCTTAAGTCAGAGGTATTCTTGGCTTAACGTGATTCGTCGCAGGAATAGTCTAAGTCTTTCCTGATTGGCTGCGTCACTTGTCAATCAAATTAGAAGCAGCAACGCGCATGGAAACCGGCAAGAGATCTGATTGGTCGGTTGGCTGTGGGTCGACCGGCCACTGAGTTGTTGAGAAACCTGTGGATTCAGTTTAAAGACGCTGCGTCAATTTAGCGCAATTAGCCAGCGAAAGACCGGAAATGGGTTAGCTGGTTTAAAAAATAAAAGCTAACTAGATTAAGGGATGAACGCATTAATTTAAAATATTAATATTTAACAGTTCTAATCAAATGTTCCTGTCTTAACAAAAGGAATGTGCAACTCAGTAAATTAACGAATTGTATTCCTTCGTAACACGAACGCAAAAGTAAGATATCTTGAATTTATCTGATGTATTTATTCAGTGACTGAATTATTTATACATGGTAAAACATTGTATAGTTAACACTGGTGTACAATAATCCACCGATCGACCTCAGACATATGTGACTAATGATAGTTTATGCTGAGTGTGGATCTTTTACTTATTTGACACACAAATCTTTAACATTTTTCTTTCCCGTTTACTCACTTAATCTTCTCATATAACCTTCCCGAATCGAGGAGGCCCGGAGGTTTATTTTGAAACTCTTAACCGGACACTGGTTTGTTATGGTCATTTGACGCCGGCGTCACAAACAGCTGGAGCAGAAGAACCACTTCTCGCACATTAAAGCCTCCGGTCGATCTGCGAAGGGTTTCCAGCACGTTCCCGTGAACATCCTCGCCGACTTTCTGTCCATTTGTCTTTGACCCGCTGCGTTTATTTTGGCCCGTTTCCTCGTGACTCCGCCCCGCGCATTCCTGTGCGTCTGGCCAGTGAGGAAGAGGAGGAGGAGGAGGAGGAATGAGAGGCTGCAGAAGGCTTCCCGAGAGGAGATGATTACCAACAACAGCAGCTTCAACACCTCACCTCTCACCCGGCTCCCCTTTCTTTTATTTCTACTTTAACAAGTTGTTGGAAACTTTCCGCTTCTTCTCTTTTTTTTTTTTTTCCTCCACCGGAGCTTCTTTCTGGAGGAGGTGGGGGCGAGATTCTAGTTTCCAGCCCGACTGCGTCGCTTCCTTTTCTCTTTTCGGCCAGAATACACAAAAACAAACCGGCCAGAAGACCAGCGCGCGCGCGTGTGTGTGTCCGTGCGTGTGCGTGCGTGCGCGTGCAATCATGGAGATCCTGGACGGCAGTGAACCGTTCCTGCACTGGGACCGGAACCTCAGCGAGCTGTCCGAGGCTGGAGAGATCGACCGTGTGCTCTACACCAATGTAAGTTATCGATCAGGGAAGGTGTGCGTGCGTGCGTGCGCGTGCGTGAGAGAGAGAGAGAGCGCGAGCGTTGGTGCCCGGCTCTCCATTCAGCCTTGAGGTCCAGGATGCGACTCTTCTCTTCTTTTTTTTCCTCAGCCTCCTTTCTCTTCTCCTTCAAACGCATTTGTTGCCAGATGGAGACACAGTTTGAATACAAGCAATGGTTTAGATGTGAGCAGAGAGGACGTGGATGTATGTGACAGAAGGACTGAAAAGTTTAAAACAGACATAAGTTCCCCCGAGTCAGATTGATAAACCGAGAAGCGAATAACCCAAAGATGTATAGTTTACTATTCGATCCAATAAAACCAACACAAGGAACAACTACTCACCTTCGAGAAGCTGAAAATAGACAAATATTTTGTCTTTTTGCATTAATTAATTGTAAGATGAAAACAAAGTAACCTCAAAGGATTATTTTGATGACATCAAAGTAAAAGTTTTAATGTTCTTTTAGAATTTTAGACATTTGACATAGTTCATACTTAATATCATACTGAAATAATACCTCATACTTTCTCTTTGGACTATTTCAGGTAATTTGTCCAACCGAATACTGACAGGTTTTTAGCAGCAATGCGTCAGTGTGGAAGCACATTTTTACATTAAATACAGTCATTACCAGCAGGGATGCTGCTCGAGGCTCACAAGTTGTGGCTTTAAACGGTGTCGGTTGAAGACGTGAAGTTGTTGTGTGAGTCTTTGCCGTTCAGCCCAGTTACAAATCACCACAAAGTTCCACACGGCACCTCCTCAGGAACGCTGAGAGTTTAACCTTCAGTTATGTACCGTGAAGCTTGTTATCCAGCCTCGTAGGCCAAAAGGAGAGAGTGTGTGTCTGTGTGAGTCAGAGGCTGTTAGTGTGTGTGTGTGTGTGTGTGTGTGACACGATGGGAGGGAGCGTTTGGGTTTACAGGAGAAAAATCCAGCTGGCTCGCAGCACAGGAATCAGACACCACAGAGGCCTATTGAGCCCCGAGACTGAGACAACACACACACACACCCACAGACACACACACTGCCTCCTCTAAGCAGACCTGCAGACAGGTAACGACTTGTGCTGATAAAACTTCAGAGCTTTCCAGCTGTTAATGTGGGTCCTTTTTCAGTCCCGAGGCCACAGTTCCTGCAGCATCGGGCCGGCGGGCTGCAGCGGTTGAAGATTTATTGCGTGTTTATTGTGACTCATTACGCTTCAGAGGGAAATATAGAGCTTGATTTATGTGGCACTTTGTAGTTATTAATTAAAGCAGTAAATATGTTGGGTTTGATCATCTACCGATTAGTATGCAAAGTATCTGAAAACGTCCCCATATTGACAAACTACGACAATAGGAAGCATTTACACACACACACACACACACACACACACACACACACACACGCATGTATATACACATTGTAATGCAACTGAGCAGTTCTTTATAATGAATACTTTTACTTTAGATACTTCAATAGTCAATTTTGCAGTCAATACACCGTCTTGTACTTTTCTACTTTTCATGTTTTAAGGGGAAGTTGCATTATGGGAAATGCAGTTTTTTGACTCGTACTTGATACTTCCACTGCAATGAATTCTATTGTTAAATTTGCCTCTCATCATTTTATGGTGCCGTGCTAAGATCCAAATTCTGTATTTTTCTGCACACATTTCGTTCTAAGTTGCGTCTTTATTCCAGTAGTTTTCCAGTAGTAGCTGCAAAGGGCCAGTGTGTAGCATTTAGCCGAAATGGAACACAACAACACTTTGTTGGGAGCAGCGACCTCTTCTCCGCTATGTCGCACCTCCGTGTCTCTACGGCCGCCCAAGACCGTCACGACAAACATCATCCACCGACCCACGTTTGGCTGCTTTTTAATTCCTTTCGTTAAAACCACGTTGTGTCGCGGCCCCCCGCTTCGCCGCTCTCAACCGCGAAGCTCGGCGTTAAAGTTCCTCCGACGCGGCGCCTCGCTCCTGCCTCACAGAGCTCAGGTTGTGTTCAGCCGTCGGGGACTAAGATGCTCTTGTTAGGTGAATGTTCTATTTATAGTAAAGCATGAATAGAGTGTGTGTGTCTGTGTGTGTGTGTGTGTGTGTGGAGAAGCAGACTGGAGTCTTTGTTGGGCCTCGCGTTCTCCCCACCAGGGTTCTGCCGACGCGAGACTCCTCGCGACAACGTAGAGGCCCCCCCCCCGGCCGCCGTCCCAGTGATCAGACGTCCCGCCCGTCTTCCTCCACTCGCCCCGGCGCTTTGTTGAGAAGCTCGCACCGTTAATCAAGTTCCTCAGGTTTGAGCGATAATAAGAGGTGGAGTTTCTTCTTTTATCTCCTTTCATTCACGCGCCTCCGAGGCCGCAGTTGACGCGTTTGTGTGACGTGAATGTTTCTATTTCGGGAGGCAAAATTAATCACAACACCGTTTTGTAGATTCTACAGTTTTCAATAGGATTCTAACAAAAAATCGGTCCAAATACTGGGATTTTCTTTTAATGTTGGAACCGATTCTAGTGTGTTTTACTGTATTTCACTTGAACACATCGAGAGAGAACCCTCGTTCCTTGATACTGATCTCCAAACATCTGGTTTCACCAGAATCCAACCTGGTGGAACTGATGACGAGCTTAAGAATAAGCTCCTGACCAAGTTTTACTGGAGTATATTCCCAGCATGGGGGGAGTTCCTGCGGCGCAGAGTTGTCTCTCTTCAGACTTTGACTCATCTGAACGCCGTAAAGCAAATTAATCTATTTAACGAGTTAAAACAAAACAGCAGCAGAAACATCAGAATCAGACGTTTTACTGCAAAATCGTTACTCGGGGATGTAACTTTCGCTGCAGTGAAGGTTGTGAGCACACACACTTAGAGCGGCTTCATTCGACGTGAGCAAACACGCGCGGGGAGTCGAAAGGTAAACAGCCGGATCCGTGTGCTCACAGAGCCCGGCCTGTTCTCCGTCGGGGCAGGGCATCCTGCTCGCCGCTGGCCTCGCTCTGTCGCTCTGTGAATGGACCGTGTGTTTCTGCAGTGTCAGTGCGTAGGCAGCGCGCACACACACACACACACACACACACACACACACACACACACACACACACACAGCTGCAATAGTTTATATGCAGATAATGACAATGATCATTTCACAGTTTTCATCCCACCATTTACTGACATTCAGAGTGTCTCTGATGTCTGGATGTGTTTCAGTACTTATAACAAAGTGTGAAAATACTCCACCAGGCATTCAAAACCTTTAGAAAAGAACAGTTTTTGGCGAGTATCCAAAAGTAAAATGTTCCCCTCCAGTGTTTCACTACAATAACTGATATCTCCTGTTAATATTTTTGCTTTATTCACGTGTGTCTGTTTGGTTTAACTTCTTTACATCTTGGTTATTCTAATCCACATCAACGCAATCATTTTTCAAAAGCTCATCAAATGTTTGCAGCGCTCACCGCGTGTTCATAAAAACAATGAATTTCCCAGCATTTCATTTATTTCCTTCAGTCTAAACACTCGACATTAACACAGCTGGCGATAAGTGTTTTTCCCTGGAAGGTGTAGTGACGTACTCACTAAATCTGTGCAGTTCCAGGTTTGAATGTTCCAATCGGACCGGCCTCTCCATCTCACGACCTGTATTGGCACACAGGTGTTATTACTGCAGGTGTGGTGCTGGATCTTCAGGTCAGTCGACTGAGCGTCTGAAACACGCTGCGGTGGAATTATCACAATGCGGTTAAACGAATACATAGATGAAGGTATTTTAAGCTGCGGATACGGTGGCTGAAACAGGAAACGTGGTGAACCTGCTTAGCAACAGTGCGTTAGCCTTTTTAGCATGTTAGCAGGTTAGCATGCTATGGCTACGACTGTGGATTCGTTTTTTAACTTTGGAAAGTGGAGCTGCTGTTTATTATCATGTGAAGTTTCTGTGTTTTGGTCACTGATTTAAATTTGGTTATTTAAAGATACACGGATGAATACAGCAAATGTTTCTTACAAAAGGTGGAAACAATTAGCTTAAATAGCTAATCCATGAAGCTAAGTTCTCTGTTTATTTCTGGTCTAATGAATAAAACACATGGCATTAATGTTTGATCTGCACTTGGATATGGAAACATGTTTTATCTCACGATCATATGTGTACTAAACTACTAGCTACTGCCGGGTGTATGACGTTTCAAATATTTTATAGTCACTTTAATATCCACAGCCAAAAACCAGGTAGAAAGATTAAACCAACCCAACGGCAAACTGTTTTTTATGTAAAGGCTGCACACAAAACGCTGCGGGTTTTGGTGTCTCAGGGTCCAAAGGTTAACTGATAAACCTGATAGCCATAAAATATTTGGCAAATTGAACAATATCTGTCTCCGATTTGTCCCTCTTAACCCTCTTAACTCTCTGTCTCTGACTGTGACAGCGGCTCTGCACATGCTGTGCGTCTCTTTCCCAAATCTGATGCAACTTTTCTCCCGAATTTGAAAATGAACGTAAGGTTTTTGCTGCGGGCGGGCGGCCTCCTGGGAGCGAGGCGAAGGTAGCAATCAGCGCGCCAGGGCTCATTATGGAAAATCCACAGGAGCCATAGTTCTTTGAGACGAAGCTAAATTTACCTCCTCTGTCTGTAATTCTGTCTGTCTCTCTGGATGCTGCATTGCCCCCGTCCCCCATCTGCCCCCACTGGTGGAGCGTTAGTCACCATAAAAGGTTTTAAAGGGATGTGTGTGTGTGTGTGTGTGGTTAGCGGGGCGTGGGCTTAATATCCATGTGAGTAGCTCATACGCCCTAAAAAACGAGTCTGGAAGCTGTTCAGTACAACTTCTGCCTCCTCGCCACTCTTTCTCTTTTCTTTATCGAGGCTAAAACATCAGATGAAATGTTGCACACTTTCAAGCTACAGAATCAACAGTTTTTGGGGCTTGAAACATCAAAGTGTTTCCGGCCTGTAAAGTTCTTATTAAACGGCACGCGCTGT